TGAAATGAAATTACAGTATATATAAAATGAAACTGAATAACATTTCACATATTTGAGTGTATATTGTATAATGAAGCTGTAATTATATTGAAATGATCATGTAGTTGTGTTTTAATAAATTATAGTGTATATAAAATAAAATTAAATAACATTTTCACATATTTGAGTGTATAAATATTGAATGAAACTGTAGTTATATCGAAATGAAATTGTAGTTGTGTTGAACTGAAACTGCAGTGTATACAAAATGAAACTGAAGAACAGAGTTATTTTTTGCGAAGATTTTGTTTATTTTCATTAAATAAAACGACGTTGTTTTGACAGTGTCGGTTTAGACACACTGTAGTGTCAGACGCGCGGTGCATGATTGATCATGCACCGTGGTGCATGATATAATTTGCCATTTTTATCCAATCGTTATGCAATGGACCCATGTCCAGCATGCATTGTGTACACGGTAACGGTGCCGTTAGTGGCACCGTTATCTTCCACCAATTTTTTTTAAAATTTCAGACCGCTTTATTATAGGAGCATATGTTCATATTTTATTACGATATGTTCATAATGTCAGAGTTCTGTGTTCATAATCCATAACTGTACATTCATAATTGCATAACTGTACATTCATAATTCTGTAATTGTACATTCATAATTATGTAAATTCATAATTTTCGAAGCTTTTCGAAGATTTATGTTCACAATTTTAGAGCTCTATGTTCATAATTTTATGACTATATGTTCATAATTGTAAGTTCATAATGTCAGAGCTCTGTGTTCATAATTCCATAACTTACATTCATAATTCCATAACTGTACATTCATAATTCCATAACTATACATTCATAATTCCACAAATGAATAACGCCGTTAACGCCATTAACGGCAAGACAAAATCAATTTAAAAAAAAATAAATTAGAATGCCGCGTTTTCTCTGAAAATGACGTCGTTTTGGACACGAGTCCCCAGCATAATTTGCGATTTTTATCCAATCATTATTGTATGGACCATGGTCCACACAAATTGTGTGGACCATATTTTGTTTACTATAAAATAATGTACATTCAGTACAAAAATAATGTACATTGTGTTCAGAAAATGTACATTATTTTTGTTCCGAGTGTACATTACATTGTATAATGTACATTCAGTACAAAAATAATGTACATTTAGTATATTAAAAATGTACTTTTTTTTATGGTCCACATAACATTGTGTGGACCATGGTCCACACAATAATTTGCCATTTTTATCGTACTGGGCCTAGACTGTTGGAATAATCTAGGCTCTGGCCCAATATAGAATTTCTTATACAACCCAAATATTACTACAACTTGTCTTCTTCGCTCTCAAAGCAAAAGCGGAGCTTGATTTGTAGGAGAAAGCAAAATGGGCACCGAGAAGAAGAAACACAGAAGAAGCTCAGAACCTTCTTCTCCACAACGAGGTCCTCCCTTTAACATCTCTTCTCCACCGTCCCCGGCGGTGCGGTGTTTGCATAGTAAGTTATTGTATTCACGTAGAATTTTGTGCGATGTGAACAGATGAAGTGAAGAGGAAACGACATAGAAGTGAGGAAGACGAGAGAGAGGGAAAGAGGGAAAAGAAGGACGGTTCCAGGAAAGAGAAGAAGCATAAATCTCATAAATCTTCCAAACGCCACTCTGATAAAGGTCTAGTGTTTACCTGTTATTGTGAATTTTGATAACAATAAGGCATTATACAATTGTTGAAGCCGCAGTTGTTGATCATGAATTGAAATTTCATATCACTTTCTTCTCATTTGCAGCTTAATATTTACCTCTTTGTTTCTCTACAATTGGTACATTGCAATTAGTTGCTGGTCATAACAGCTTATAAAATGACTTGAGATTATTTTGATGGTTGGTCAGGTATACTTTAGGTTATTTTTTCCTAATGCAGAAAGTTAGAATAGGTTTCTTAGCTGGTTCTTATAGCTGTTTCTCATAACTATGACTTTTCCATTTCCTTTTTATTTTTTCCATAATGAGCTTTCAGATTTGGTTCCTCTTTGCAGTTTATGTTAAATGCCCTAAGAAAATTGTAAATATAAGTTGCTGTTGTATATGGTGTAGTTCTTCTATGCTTTTCCGATTGCAATTCCTTTGCTGAACATTGATGTCTTTTTGCTATATAATCTATTCACTTGAAATTCCTTACTTTGTTAACATGCCTTCCCTTTATTGACTGTGCAATTGATATTGTGAGTACCTTTTATAATAGACTTGATGCCTATACAGCCATTACGAGTTAGACAAAAGTTCCAATTTTGTACTATGGTTCATGTGTGCTTAAATTAAATTATTCTCCTACGAATTGGTGAATGTGTGGTTTGAAAGAAGTCATAGTCATACTTACCAATGATATCATTTCAGAGAAGTCAGGAGAAAAGCATAAAAGTAAAAGCCACAAGCATAAGGATTCCTCAGTGAGTTCTCTTTCTATTCCTATCATTACAAAAGCTCAGCATTCTAAAACACGTTTGCAGTTGAAATGAGCTGAAAATAAACTCCCTACTTGTCTTGCATTTTCTGTTTATCGTTGAACTAATTTTTTAGACCATAAACATATGAGCAGTCCTTTTGGATAAAAATGCTAGACCCATCCTCTGCTTTCAGTTTGATTGAAAATGAAATCATGAATTGCCCTCCGGACACCTCCGGTCTCCTATTGCATCGAATAGGATTTATTTTGTCATTGTTGGTGTGCTAACACTATTGGTGGCTATTTATACAAAATCTAACCCTCAATGTTAATAAGTTTACAGAAATAAAATGAAAGGTTTAATTGTGTTTCAAACTCACATTTGGTATTGTATTTAGCTGCAATTTTCTGATTGATTTACATCAACATCATTTACATTGTGATGTATTTGGTTCAGTTTAGGAGCATATTCTTCTAAATCATGAGTTATTCATAGTTTTAGAGACTTCTGAATCTCTAATTACTTCCTATGAGTGTCAATGGCATGCTGGTTATTTTGGAGTTCCAACTGCTTAAATTAGTAGTAGTTTCTTAAGTTCGAGTCCTTTTTTTAATGCCCTGGAATTGATCTTTCGAAGTATTGAGTCTAAAACCTTTATAATGTTCTTAAGTTCGGCCATACATTTCTGTTTGACCATTTCTTCTCCATGCTTCCTCTCAGAAGTTAAAGTTTGAAGAACTGACAAAGGATGACTATTTCTCAAAGAACAATGAATTTGCGGCCTGGCTGAAGGAAAAGAAGAATCTGTTTTTCATGGATCTTTCATCTGAGGCTGCACATGATTTATTCTTGGACTTTGTCAAGGAATGGAACAAGGGAAAGCTTGCGAGTGAATACTATGAAGGCATATCAACTGGGCCACGATCGTCTCACAAGTGGAACATCAAACAGTAAGCATGCCAGCCTCTTTGAATCAGCAGAGAAGTGAAGTTGTCAGTATACATTATACATAGGCTTGTGTAACTCTTTGTTTACATTGCTGGTTTAATGAGAACTAGGCAACTAGCATGACTAGTTTAACAAGAGCTTTTTGCTCAGCATACATTTATGTTGTCATCTGTAATCCTATAATTCTATTTTAATATTTTGCTTTTTGCTCAGCATACATTTATGTTGTCATCTGTAATCCTATAATTCTATTTTAATTTTTTTGGTTAAGAGTTGTTCACATAATGAAATTTTGGAATCTTGAATGTTTGCAATTGGCTGGCAAATCAGATAAGGATTTTAATACATATCAAATAAAATATGCAGTTGTAAGTCTGTTTATTTAGAGATACGTCTATTTATTGGTACAGTGGTACATAAGACTAACAGCATACGTGAACCAAAAAATCAGCATTTTGCTCTCGTTGAGAGTCGAACTCAAGACCTCCCGCTTACTAAACGGGTGCTCTAACCAACTGAGCTACGAGAGCTGTTGATGAATTTATTTGTTTATATAGATTTCTTTCGAGCACACAAATTGAGTCAAACTAGTCTAAAGCCAACGTTGTAATTGATCCAAAGGCATTAATGCAGCGTCAAAGAATAAATAGGGGGACCCCACCTGCTTCCCAATATATCAACTTATTATAACGTGTGACAAAAATGAAAGAAGAGAGCCGAATTTAGTGTAATTGGTTTGCCGTTAAATTTAAAGATCATGATCGTAGATAGGAGTGTGGATTTAGAAGATTTACATTAGATCTCTGCACGCATATAAATATTAAGATTTATTTAATGAGTTGATTATGTGATTGATGATTTTACTTTTGTAGTAGCTCTAAAACAGTAAAACGACAAATTCTTCTATTGACCATTAGTGAAATATACATTTTTAATATACTAAAAATATATTATTTGTGTACTAAATTTACATTATGTGATTATATAAAATATATATATATATATATATATATATATATATATATATATATATATATATATACACTTTCAAATAATGTACTTTTAGTATATTAAAAATATACTTTTTATTTATGATTCACAAAAATGTGTATATCATGGTCCATGGAATAATGATTGCTCTCAGGGTCGTTTTTGGTATTTTTTTATGGTACCGTTCTTATAAATAAATGAGGTCTTACCAAAAATATAAGCGCAATCTTTAATGGTAACTGATGAATGATACACGTTTCATTGTGCCGAAAGAGAAATAGAATGGTTTGACAGATTCAGGGCTAGAGACATTGTGCCCTTAGGAAAATATAATGGTTTTGTCATGTTGAATTAATTAGATCATAATTATTAGGAGAGATAAGTGATTTGGGATAAAACTGATGACTTTTGGAATTAATTGTAGATTTTTTTTTAAGTAGGTAGGTCAAAAATAAATATTGAACCCTCTAAAAATTGAGACATTATGGTGTTGCCGGTCTTGCACGCTCTTAAATCCGGCCAGCTCTAAAATAGAATCTTGCGGATTTAGAATTAGTTGGACAAAGTTAAGATCAACTAATTAAAAAAATATATATATAGAAAAAGACTTTGCCTGCCTCAAGTCGTCGCGAGACTTTAACCCTCGGCCCTCGCATTCTAACAGAACCAAAATCCAATTTCTCAAACATTCTGTGATTTTCGCCTCATCAAATCTGCTATCCAGGTAATCGAACCTCCGTGAAATGTATCTATATAGGTGTTTGTATGTAGAACTTTGCGTACTCGAGGTGTGTGTTTCAGTGGTATAAATGCCCTTACTGGAAGTTTTACGTCTATGTAACTGTGTTTTGCGTTTTCTTCATCATAGCTTCTTCCTTCGTATTGTGTTTTCATGTCCGGGTGTGTATAACGAGCTTCTAATATGTAGAAAACTCGTTGTAAGAGGGAGCTGTCACCGATTCCTGGAGTTTTTTCATCTTAGAAATTGATAGTGAGCTGATTTTTCTTAGTTCAAGTAAGAAAAATCACGAAGGAAAGCAGAATTTCAGGCTTTCTTTTTTTTTTTTTTTTTTTTTTTTTTTTTGGTTTTAAGGATTGGTTCCTAATTCAGAGATTCTGTTCGGTATTTAAACTTTGAACAATCAAGTTTTAACTCTGGTGTTTGAAATTCTCCATTTTCCTAGAGAAATGAAAAAGGAAAAAAGAGAATATGTTTACTTGTAAGTTTCTTCAATTTGGAAAGTTAGATATTTGAAGTAAAATGTAGTTGGTGAGCATTAACACAGTTTTTGCTCCTTATGTACCTGGGCCTAGAATTTAAAATCAAATTGATCCCTTTGATTTCTATGCCAGTTTTTCTGAAAGCTAGTAGCTGTTTTATCCCATTCAACTTTATATCAGTTTGAGCAGAATTGCCGGATAAAAGGAAGAATAATTGTGTAGTACCATTTGGACATAAGAATTACATGGCATAGGTATTTTGAGATTTATAATTCTGCATGCTAAACATCTGTGCAATAGTATTTGGAAATTTTCTCATTAATTTCAATTGCTTGTTTGTAAGGGTGTCATGGCTGCTGATGGTGGGTGGCTCTCTGAAGACGTTCCTGAATTTGGAGCAATCTTCATGTCCAACAGAAGTACAAAGGATGAATGTTTCAATAAAAGAGTCTTTGGACTTCCGCTGTCTTCTGCTAATTTTGTGAAGAATGTCAAAGCTGGAATGTTTTTGTTTCTTTTTGAATATGAGCAGCGGAATCTTTATGGGGTTTTTAAGGCTACTTCAGATGGTGGAATGAATATTATACCTCAAGCATATCGTTCATTGGGAATGTCCTTTCCTGCACAGGTATTATTAAAATATGATGTTCTTGCTTTCAACTAAATTTTCATATCTTAAGAGAGGCACAAGTGCCTAAATATAGTATATGTAACTATATTACTTTTTGGCTTAATATGGAGATTGTCATTCCAAAAGCAAAAGTCTCTTACACGATTAACTGCTCTTTCTGCAGGTTCGCTTTCGTATTGTTTGGAGATGTCATCCCCTTTCTGAGAATTGTTTTCGTGATGCTATTAGAGACAACTACTATGCACCTAACAAGTTTAGGTTTGGTTTGTCTGAGGAACAGGTCTGCATTCACTTCAACTTAGATAAAAGCATGATATGTTCTCAAAGATATAACTCTTCTGCACATTCCCTGTTTGACTATTGAGTTTGATTCAAACCAAGCTTTACAAGCCAATTGTTAAATAAAAGAAATTTAATTTTGTGATAACTGTCTTCTTAATTGGTTAGAGAATGGAAAGCAAGATCCTATCAAAACCTTGTTGCTCAGTTTATGTTTCTGTTAAACTGTGAATTGAATGGATTGTATTAACATAATTGTGTCTTTTTCTTTCTTTCTTTCTTTCTTTTCTTTGGTTCCTACTTTTGAGTTTTCAGGTTCAGAAGCTTTTATGGCTGTTTGACACTAGTAGGTCCAGCAGAGTTCAAAAACCTCTAGTATTCGAGAACTTGAAGAGAAGGTCCATCGAATCTTCTGATAGGAAGATAGATTTTGCTACAGGTGCTTTGAAACAAGACTAATTCTGTTGAGTTATTTAGCTTTATCATTTGAGTTATCTAAGGCCCTGCCTAAGACTGAAAGTATTCTTGCTTCGAAACTTGAATTTACAGCGCGAATCAGTGAGAATTCTTCGTCTGGAAGTCAGTTAATTCAGTTGCAGAGAGGTCTTGATCAGTGCAGGAGTACTTCTAATAATTCATTGTTGCTTGAAAACCCCGGGACACCAGTTAAGCAGGCAGACAGTAGATTTACTTCAAAACATGGATTTACAGCTCAAGTTAGTAAGGATTCTTCATCAGGAAGTCTGTTAATTCAATTGCAGACAGGACCTGACTGCAAGAATACTTCTAATGATTCATTGTTACTTGAAGATTACATACCATTATCTGATCCCGAAGATTGTGACCCTGTAAACTCTGGTGATGGAAATGATCAAAGTGACTCTGAACTTCACCCCATAGTGAGGAGGCTCTACTCTGACACTAAACAGAAAAGGCGGAGTGTGTTTACTCGGTTGCAATGTGGCTCACAAGAATTGGGAGAAAACTCTCGTAAGAATATAAATTATCTTTCTCATACAAAATGGGATTCAGAGTCTTCATCTTTTGAACAAGAAAGTGAAAGAAAATCTGGGGTTCCTCAATCAGTGCACAGAAAATTGAAGAAATTGGAGTGGAGACATGAAAAGTGGATGGTGGAGGATATAACTCCAAGTAAGAAGGCCAATGTGTTTTCCCGCATTAGTTTTCCTCCAGACTTCCCTATGTATGACAGGGACAGAGAAGTTAACAGTCTCTCTAGATTGAACAGTACATACAATGCGAGCTCCTATCTTAACGAAGCAAATGAGAATGCAAAAAAGAGAAGCCACCAAGTACCTATCCCAGACCATTCAGATGGTAAGAATATCAGCATGTCAATCCAAGTGGAGATGCTTGGAAATTCAGAAAGAGTTGAAGTAAACTTAAAGGACTCATCAAGCCCGGTGAAAGTGAAACTAACATCTCACCATCTGGATTTCAATCATGTTCATGAAAGAAGAACGTTGAAAACACTTAATGTGATTGAGGAAATGGACAGCCGTCAAGTGTTTAAAGAGCCTTTTCCTGAAGATGAACATCACAAGAGGAAGAAATTGATGAGGTCAACAGGTAGTGATTTCTCAAATTGCATCATGGCTGCACCATGCCCTGTTGCTAGTGAAGGTGGCACGAAAAAGGCTTTGAGGTTGAGAGACTGACATGAGCTAGCTATAAGTGGTTACATAGTAGTATCAGAACAATGAGAAAAAAGGCATTTAGAAAATGGTGTTGCTTTCTTGAGTCACAGAGATTTTTGCTCATGGCATGCTACAAAAGCTCTCCAGGGGTAAAGCACTTTACTTCTACATCACATCATCCTCTCTATGCATTTTCTTATGAGTATTAGTATAGAGCTTGTAAATACTTTGACTCTCAATGATGGCTGAAACCTCCTCCTCTAAACAACTTCTGTTGATTTGCTTATACATTCTTGTGTGTAAACTATGTTGCTCCTTTTCTGAGTTTTTGTTTGAATGTGTGGATTACGCTAGGAACCCTTCAAAAATTGTCAGACAAATATTTTAACATACTACAGGAGTAGAATGATGATCTATGCAATTACCCTGAACTAATAGTTTTAGCTTTTTTGGCATGCCCAATAGCATGGTTGAAAATATTACTAGGCGCTCCTTGGGCGTCTAGACGGTGATTAATCGGCGCCTAGGCGACCGTGTATTTTTATTTTTTAAATATTTGTTTACAATTTTTAAATTTTTTAAAACTTGATAATTATAATTTATAAACTGTTTAATACTTTAATAGTTAATACTAAAATATTAAATATTAATCTAAAAAAATCTAGAGTTTGAAGAATTTAAGATTATTTTGTTCAAAATGATGTCGAGTGAAATAACACATTTAAAAAAGAAGAAAACAATAACTAATCGGGTGACTAGGTGACCTAGTTGGTGCTTAGGTGACCTAGGCGGTCAGCACTTTGGCGGTCTACGCAGCGCTTAAGCTGTCTAGTTGGCCAATTGTCTAAACCACAGATTATGGTGATACGATAAGCAGTCGACCAACACCTAATCAGTACCTTACAACACTACATTAATTAATTAGTGTTTAGGCGAGATTTTTACAACATTGCTCAATAGATGTACTTCAAATTAAAACTAGCCCTTTCCTCCTCTCCTATTTCATCTTTATCCTTAACAAAAAAACTCAATTTTTGGGAAAAAGACCAGATGATGGAATGTTTCGACCGAATTCTTTTTACACGCATGAAAATTAGAGTAATCAATAAGCTGATTGCGCGAATCACAATTTACCTTTCAATGGCTCTAGGAATTGAATTTTGTGTGCTTAGAATTAATGCAACAATACTGAAATTTAAGTATAAAAAATAATATAAAATTCTTGTTTCTCTCTCGCCGCTTTAGCGAGGTTATGGTTTTTTCCCAGGGTTTTTTTTTGATTTCGACGTTTTCAAGCGACACTGATCGCGGTTTCTGAACAATCTGAATCATGGCCACGACAGATGTTACTGCTTTGTGCGCAAGCCTCACTCTCGCCGATGTTGATGATGATGAAGTGACGATACAGTTACCTCTATCGCCGACCAGCCATGACGCGGAGGAGGAGGTTTATTATGCAGTAGGCAGATTGGTTACGGATAAGCCTATTCGGCTAGCTTTCTTTCACGATACAATGGCTGCCGTATGGAGGCCGGTAATGAGGGTTAATGTCAAGGAGCTTAGTCTTCGGAAATGTTTGTTTCGGTTCTACGATGACAGATATATTAGCCGGATCATTGCTGAAGGCCCCTATTCATATGAACAGAGCTTGCTGATACTGAGAAGGGTTCCTCCGGGAAGTGATCCGGAGTCGATTCCGCTTACACACACGGAGTTCTGGGTTCAAGTTCATTTGTTGCCGAGAGGTTTTCAGTCGGAGGCAGTGGTCTCGGCCATTGCTTCGTCCTTGGGGACCTTCATCAAGACCGATGAGCGTAATTTTGATGGCTCAATGAGAACTTTCTATCGTGTCCGGGTTGCATTGGATGTGGCGAAAGCCCTCAAGAAGCAGATGAAACTGAAGAAGGATAATTGTGGATGGGCAGTCATTGATTTTAAGTACAAGAGGATGCCGACTTTCTGCTTTTTTTGTGGCGTCCTGGGGCATGGTGACAGGTTATGTCACAAGTATTCTATAGTATGAGGGGCATACCGATAAATGGACAGCGGTGGATTCCACCGGAATCTACTGTGGAACGCCAGAAGTGGAAGGCGGCCAAGGTGGAGGACGATTGTGGTAAAAATGAGATGTGGTGAGTGTACGGGTATGTAATGTCGTCCTCAGGGGATTGGGGGTTATGGCACGCAATATGTAATCGCAATAAACTAGGCACTAGCATAAGGAAATCAACAAGAAGCTAAGCAAATCATAACGGGATTGAGGCTACGGTAACTAAACAAAGTAACACAAACACATATTAACAAGATGTGAACACAAAATAAAGAAATAAGACTCAAGCTAGGGAGCATTATCATCTAGATGCTTTAACAACCTAAGGGATTAGGGAGAACAAGTAACCAAGGAAACAAGTGGGAATGCACGTAGGTATTGTTGGAAAAATAGCATTAAAATGGCATAAAATAACATGTTAAGTGGCTATTTTGTGGTACAATTATCAGTGGGGTCCACTTCCGATTTGGATCGGGTCAAAATGGATTCGGGTTCTTCGTAATGAGACGAAGAGATTGATATATTGTACGCTCAAAACGGATAATGGGTGAATGAGATATTGATTCTCAAAGTAGACCCATTGAGTTGAAAAAATGTAAGGGAAAAGTGAGCTTTGTCCCACATTGATTTGGAAAGAGGATTTCACCCCCCTTTTATACAAGAGCTCTTTTGGAACTTGTAGAATTGTATAGCATAGAGGCTCTCTCGCGCGGGGGGGGGGGGGGGGGGGGGGGTTGGTGCAAATCAAATTCCAACTAGAAACGAGATCGAACAGGCTTCGGCACCTGGGGGCATGAATGAGTTATGTCAATTTCTGTACAGTTTTCCAACACTATATGGCCACACCACGAGAGATCACCCGAGATCAAGTGATCTCTCGTGCGCTGTCATGAGGTCACACGAGAGTTTGACTCTCGTGCTCACAGTTCAGTCTCGTGTGCACTGAAGCACGAACTTTCGTGCATCTCGAAAGTAACTGAGCTGAAACAGCGCGGACCATTCGTTGGTTTTGGACTGTTACAGGATTAATCTTGTATTAATTCAACCTTTTGAATTTTTGAGTTAAATCTCAAAAATGGTGGCTGTTTCAGGTGTTACAAATCGTGGATTAAATGCTAAACTAAATGCTATTGATTCCTCACCTCCTATATAAGAAGGGGTGTAGCAGCAGTGTTTCAACACAGACTGAAAACAACACACACAACACTGAAATTCTGTTTTCCCAGCTCCAAAATCTCTGCTCCTACTCCCTTCTTGTAGCTGTGTTCGTCCCATGCTCTAGTTCGCCGGGTTCGTTCGTTTGGGTGCTCAAACGTCGAATCGTTGTACGTTTTATCCTGGGAAACCTAGGCCACAACGCTCCTAGCACTTTTGGGAGGTGGCAAATAAGGTTTTAAGGAAAGACAGGCACTTTGCCTAACTCGTACGAATCTTTCTTCCTTCTCCTTCTTTCTTGTTTTGGATTATGCTCTAAGCTAAAATCCATTCTTTCTTGTTGTTTTGGAATTATAATCTAAAGGATTATATTTTCTTTTTTGTTGATATATATTGGTATATCTTTTTCGTAGATATACATGTATATATAACCGTTGGGTCCGTTTTATATATATTTGTGTGTGTGTGTGTGTGTATATATATATATATATATATATATATATATATATATATATATATATATATATATATATATATATATTTCGGATATATATATCCAATAATATTTTATATATATTTCGTGTGTATATATATAAATATTATTTTACGGATATTAAATCGATTGTGGTTCATTATCACCAACAATCTTAAAACCTTATTATCTTTGATAATGAACAAGTCGATGGATTCCAAAAATGTTGGGTCCGTGAATGTTGCTCGTGGTGCACATTCAAATGGTCGGAACGGCAACGATGTTGCACATTCCGTGATGCCAGTTGATGGCAGCAACGTTGAAAATAATATTTCCATGGGAGTTGCAAAGACACACGATGGTGCTCCGGAGAACTTTGGTTCACAAACCGGTAGACCTGTGGCTCGTGGCACACAATTGGTACCTATTGTGTTGTCTAGTGGATCGGCTAAAAGCCATGGAGGATCCTATGATTGTGTAATGACTACATGGTCTGAGGACTATTGTAGTGTGACCAATGTCTTCAATGATAATCGAAGGAAAGGCAAGCGGAAGCTTATCTTTCAAGAAGATTATGAGAATAAGGAGAAATGCCACTATGAAGCGAATCGTCATCCTGGTGAAAAGGTTGAGGACAACTTCGCTATGTTTAAAACATGTGGATGGTTGGACGAGTAAGGTCACAACCGAGGTACCCCCGATGTGCGCTATGGACCACCCTTCGTGGAGTGGACGATTGGAAAATGGAACAAGGCACACGGGTTGAAGGATCACTACGAGATAGGAATAAGGAAATGTGTTTCCAGTGTAATTTTCCTATTTATTTATTTTGAATAAATGTTGTAGTATCCTTGTGATACATTTTATTGTTGAATAAAATGAATTGTTCCATTTGTGGGTATTGAACTTTGTATATTTTGAAATATTCTTGTGTAATATTTTTAATATATAAAAGGTTCAATATGGGTGCGTGGTGCATCACGGATCATTATGTGGAAAATGCTAAAATGGCTTAACGGCCGGAACGAAATGTAACAAGCGTGTTACATGTTTGAAATCCCGTAAAGAACTTCGGTTCAGGTTCATGTAGAACGATAAGGATTTCAAGGATCAATTTGTCAAAAATTGGGATAACTATATAATCGTGAGCGTCACAACTCAAGTGTTGAATATTTTATATAATATTCTAAGAACGATTATATGAGTTTGATTCAACTAGTGGGAAATTTGGATGATTTGGTTTTGTTAATTGTGTTATAATTAACTTGATAAAAAATTCCAAGTTATACTAGTATATTTAAATTTGAGACAAATTGTGTTTTAGTGAATAGTGCTTTTGTGGCACTAATGGAAAGTGCAATTTAATTTGGCACTTTGAAGTGCAAATTAAACCACTGTAAGAGTGCTATTAAGCAATAGGTAGAGTGCCTAATTAGGTACTTTCGGCCACTTGGTGGCTGCATCTTTAGGTGTTGAAAACTTAAGCATTTGGTGCTTTGGTAATAGCAATAAAGGTGTTAGAGTATGATTGGTCTTAATGCTAATTAGCTTAAACCTTTCGTATGTGGCTAATTAAATTTAGCGTTATAAAAGTGCTATGTAATTAGCACAAAAGGAAGTTTGGTTAATTGTGGAATTAACTAATAATCCTAGTGCTAAGTAGCACTGGAATTATAAATTAAGCAACCGAATGTTGCTGTGAGTTTATAATTTAAAGCAATAGAGATTGCTTTGGAATCGGTGCGTTAGTTTGGCAGCAATGATTCGTGCTTCACTACTAAGCACTGATTCGTGCTTCAATTTCGGAAGCATTGATTCGGGTATGTGGCCTTTCGGTCAAAAACCGAATGGATTCGTGAGGGCTAATCTGTTAGCACCTACGAGATGTGTTAGAGTGTAACACATGTTTATTCTTTATAAGAATAAAGAGAAAAACCAAATTAATCGTGGATTAATGCGGTTACGAACAATCGATGTGGTGAAAATGAAACACCTATTGGTGATTTCGGCGCAAGCATTGGTATCGTACTCGAGCGTACGACACGGTATTCACCTTGATCAAACGTTGTTGCCGAACATAAATATCAAGATGTTGATAAGTTCGGGTCTACCTCAAAGTATGTGGGGGAGACAATACTTTGGACAAGTAAGTACCTTTTAATTAAGGTTACCCACATGGAATTCTTACGAATTGTGGGTACGTAGGAAGTTCTCCTACTAATGCCCGAAATGTGGGGGTGGCTTGCCAAAGGTGTGTATTGGTTCTTAGTACACGAGTCCAAGAGTTTGGATGTACATAAGAACACGAAAGATTGATTCAAGAAATTCATCGTTCTTGGAAGATGTATTTTTGTGAAGGATCAATAAAGGACCTAGCACGTTGAAAGGAACTTTCGGCGTAGCTATGGTTGAAGGGTGTGAAAGAGAACCCGAGCTCAAAGCTAGACGTAGCAAGAAAGCTAGGATTGAAAAATCCTTTGGTCCATATTTTCTGACGTACATGTTAGAGTGTGATGCACACAATCTAACTTGTTTACTAGAAAAGAAATTGGATTTTCTGACATGGTTGTTAGAAAACGAGCCTCGAACGCATGTAGAAGTGGTGACTTCTACAGATGGACCAACCCAAGAGAGGCTATCGAGAGTGAAGTAGATTCTATCTTAAAGAATCATACTTGGAACTGGTTGCTCTTCCTCCAGGTTGTAAAACCTCGGGATCCTAAGTGGATCACTAGTCGGAAGACAAAACCGGTTGGTCATATTAAAGTAAAATGGCCAGGGTTGTAAGTGTAGATTACATGCAACGTGAGTGCCACGGTTACTTCGATATGTATTCTCTGGTGATGAGAATGAAATCCATTAGTATGACACTTGCCATAGCCGTCTAACGAGACTTGGAAGTTCATTAAAATGGATGTGTTGCTTTCTTAGTAGACATGGAACGACCTGAGGGTTTGTGGTTCCACGATGTGAAAAGAAAGTGTGTAATTGGTGAGATCATTGTATGGTTCGAAACAATTGCCTTAGTAGTTGGCATGTGAGGTTTTGATCATGCAGTGATGACCAACGAGTTTAGTATAAACGAAAGTGAAGGCGTGTCTACGTATTGCGTACGATGGACGGTGAAATCGGTGTTTGTTTATACACGATAAACTCAACGTGGGTAGTAACGATCAAATGATCAATTCTACCAGGAACATGTTAAATTCGAGATTTGACATGAGAGGTGTGGGCTTAGCAGATTTAATCTTTGAGATTAAAATTGTGAGAAGACCGTATGGTCTCGTGTTAAGCCAATCTCATTGTGTTGATTAAATCCTTGCAAAGGATGTTAATCAAGTGGCTTGAACACCGTTAGATACTAACGTACAATTAGCCAATAATCACGAGTATTGTACTTCTCATGGAGAATACATTCAGATTATTGGTAGTTTAATTGTATCCAATGGGCTATACTAGGTCGGACATTGCCTTTGCGGTTAACGAACTCGGTAGACATACGAGTAACCCTAGTGTTACGCACTAGAAGGCAATAGTGGAATTTATGAGATACTTGTGTATGCTTGTGACTTTGAACTACACAACGTGGGATATCTAGCCGTACTTGGAAAGTATAGCACGGATATCAAAGGACGCTAAATTCATCAAAGGTTACGTCTTTACGTAGGCCAATGAAGTCGGTTGGACGGAAATTCTCGAAATGAATTTGTGATAGCTAAGATCCGACGGGATCAAAGCTGAGAGCCTTACACTCGTGTCGCGAGCGAGTAGGTCGAATGGCTATGCCATTTTTCGGGAATGTCCCTAGATATAAACTCGTACCTCTAATTTGTGTGCGTTGCGAGAGTCAAGCCAAAATTGGTTAAGTACATAGTTAGATGTGGAATGGTAAGTCTAGACTTATAAGTCGAAGACGTAATACCATTAAACAATTTCTCACAACGGGAATTATCTCTATTGACTACGTGATGTCAAAAGATAACGTAGCGGCCGCTAACTCGCTAACCCGAGGGTAAGCAAATAGTTGTGGAGAAATTGGAACGAGGAATGGGTCTAAAGCCCTTGGACTAAAAGTTCTATAGTGGACACCCAACCTAGCTGGTACCTAGGTTCAATGGAACAACTAAATTATGAACGGAGCGTGTCACTGTGGGGGTCTCGGACTCCCTACCACTCCTCGTTAAAAACAGTAACTCCCGCGCAAGGTTAGCATGTTGATGCTTTAATGGGGGGTGTTGCAAATCAAATTCCAACTAGAAACGAGATCGAACAGGCTTGATTCAAGCCCGAGCTCGTGTGCGCCGGCACCTGGGGGCACGAATGTCGTCCGGAAATTGGCTGGCCTTGCGGGCTAAGTTATGTCAATTTCTGTACAGTTCTCCAACACTATATGGCCACACCACGAGAGATCACCCGAGATCAAGTGATCTCTCGTGCGCTGTCATGAGGTCACACGAGAGTTTGACTCTCGTGCTCACAGTTCAGTCTCGTGTGCACTGAAGCACGAACTTTCGTGCATCCCGAAAGTAATTGAGCTGAAACAGCGCGGACCATTCGTTGGTTTTGGACTGTTACAGGATTAATCTTGTATTAATTCAACCTTTTGAATTTTTGAGTTAAATCTCAATAATGGTGGCTGTTTCAGGTGTTACAAATCGTGGATTAAATGCTAAACTAAATGCTATTGATTCCTCACCTCCTATATAAGAAGGGGTGTAGCAGCAGTGTTTCAACACAGACTGAAAACAACACACACAACACTGAAATTCTGTTTTCCCAGCTCCAAAATCTCTGCTCCTACTCCCTTCTTGTAGCTGTGTTCGTCCCATGCTTTAGTTCGCCGGGTTCGTTCGTTTGGGTGCTCAAACGTCGAATCGTTGTACGTTTTATCCTGGGAAACCTAGGCCACAACGCTCCTAGCACTTTTGGGAGGTGGCAAATAAGGTTTTAAGGAAAGACAGGCACTTTGCCTAACTCGTACGAATCTTTCTTCCTTCTCCTTCTTTCTTGTTTTGGATTATGCTCTAAGCAAAAATCCGTTCTTTCTTGTTGTTTTGGAATTATAATCTAAAGGATTATATTTTCTTTTTGGTTGATATATATTGGTATATCTTTTTCGTAGATATACATGTATATATAACCGTTGGGTTCGTTTTATATATATTTGTGTGTATATATATATATATATTTCGGATATATATATCCAATAATATTTTATATATATTTCGTGTGTATATATATAAATATTATTTTACGGATATTAAATCGATTGTGGTTCATTTTCACCAACAGGTATCCTAGTCTACGAACCATTTTCGTGATTAATAAACAAGGATTAGAACAAGGAATTGCCCCACTTTCGCGGTGAATCAATTCCAAGTCCATCAAGCACACAAAGCATCTAAAGCCCCTAATTTTCCCTATTTTCGTAGGAAGAAATCGGGTCTATGCAAGGGGTGGCTTGGATTTATCACCCAACTCTCGTTGAGGCAAGGAATCCTCCAAAAACAAGCTAATGAATGTGTACATCAAACATTAACAAGATATAAACACAAAACCTTCACAAACACATGAACCCTAGTTTGGAGTTCTTCCCCCTTTTTGCAATAATCACAAATTGAGCATCAAGATAGAAAACAAAACCCTAACTCAAGTCCATAAACTAACTACTCATGATTAAATAGCATAAAGAACACAAAAACATAAATGTAAAGCATAAACATTGCAAGATAAAGAGATAAAAGGGAGAAGAAGCTTCTCTATTGAAAATGGATGGTGGAATCTTGAAATGTTGGAATCCATGCAAGCTTCAAATCTAAGATTACAAGCTTCAAAAGTGTTAAGAAACATAAATCTAAGCCTAATCTAACCTAAAAATATGAAGGGAAGTAAATGAGAGTGTCTAGGGTTCTAACAAGAGTCAAAAACCAAGTAGAAATGACCAAAACTCGTGCATATATAAAACAGAGCGCAGGTGACACGGCCAGGGACATGGCCATGTCCCTGGCCGTGTCCAAAATGGCAGTGCACACTGGAATTTGTACAGAAAATACACGGCCACAGACACGACCGTACACTTGGACGTGTCTTTTGGCCTTCAAAACGTCAGAATTTGGAACTATGGTCTTCATGAAAGATGTAGCCCTTCGAGTCTTCTTTCCAATGGCTCAAGAATCACTTCATTTGGACATTCCTAGGCAGAGATATGGTTCAAAACCCAAACAGTAGTCAGTTTTGGATTGGCAGTTTAGAACTTCAAATTCAAGGACAATTTGGACCCCTGTGTATTTCTTTTTAGGCTTTGATGTATGAATATGAGTTGTATATCTTTGAGTCTTCTTTCCAATGGGACAAGAATCACATAATTTGGATATTTGTAGACCGAGATATGGCCCGAAAACAGAACAGTGACCAATCCATGCGAGAATTTCAGCTTGTTGACACTTGTTCCACTTTTGCCTTGGTTTAATTTGTCCATATGATCAACACCATTGAAAGCATCACTCTTTGATTCCTTTGGAAGTGTTGCATCCATCTCCTTAGCTTCACATTGGCTTCCCTTGACTCCAAATGCATCCAACATGATCTAAAATCCTTCATTTCTACTCAAAGATAATGAATTGTGCATAATGGATCAAATGAGAAAAATAAAGATCATTTTGAACAACATTGTGACACTTCATAAGCAAAACAAGGTTAAATATGGGGTAGACATGTGGTATAAATATGAACAATTATGCACTTATCAGAGGAGTTGGCTGATACTGTGAAGGGGGTTTCGGAAAGCCAAGGGGTACCAGAGGTTACTATTTCGGATCCTAAGCGGCGTCGAACTGGTTCTGCTGATGAGATGGGGATGGAATGTGAAGTATCGGTTTCAAAAACTTGCACGAGGCGGGTCTTGCGGGGCAAGCCCGCCTAGGATTATGAATTTCTTAACCTGGAATTGCCGAGGGCTTGGCAACCCGACGGCAGTTCAAGTATTAGCGGACTTGGTCCGTGAGAAGAGGCTAAAGGTTGTGTTTTCGATGGAGACCTTTTTGGTGAAGAGCAGAATGGAGCCAATAAGGGTTACGTTGGGTTATAATAATATGCTGGTGGTCGATGCAAGCGGGCGCAGTGGTGGACTTGCTCTTTTGTGGGATGATGCCATACGGGTGGATGTCACGGGATACTCATCGAATCATATTGACACCACTGTGATCTTAGATGTGGGCAGTCCAGAATTTAGATTAACGGGGTTCTACGGGTTCCCTAAGAGCTACCGTAGTTGGGAGTCATGGAATTTGCTCCGTACACTGGCAAGTACATCCAGTCTACCTTGGGTAGTCATGGGGGACTTTAATGACATATTGCACCAGTATGAGAAACGGGGACGACGGCCACAACCCCAATGGCGGATCACGGGTTTCCGGGATGCTAAACGGGACTGTGGTCTCACTGATTTTCCCTTTGCGGGCTATCAGTTTACATGGCAGCGTTCGAAAGGTACGCCGGATATGGTCGAGGAGAAGTTGGATAGATTTCTTGTAACTGAGTCATGGCTGGTGCAGTTTGAAGGGCCTAGGTCTTTGCCATGTCCTTATAGTGACCATCTGCCACTTATGTTGTCGCCTATAGTAATCAATCATCTACCGCGCCGGCACAGGTTCTGCTTTGATAATATGTGGCTGCGTGAGCCGGTACTTCGTGAAGTAGTAGAGCATAGTTGGGGCAGAACGACAGGTATGGATGTGTTTCAGAGAGTGGAGTTGTGTAGTCGGGACATCTGGCGATGGGGGCGTGTGTATAACAAAGGCTTTCAGCAGCGCATTGACCAGTGCAGAAGGAAGCTTGAAGCCCTACAACCACGTAGGGATATGGCTGGTTGTGCTGACTATGATAGAGTGGAGCAGGAGTGGCTAGCGCTATTAGACCAGCAACATGTGTTTTCGCGCCAGAGAGCAAAAGAACACTGGTGGAAGGACGGTGACCTGAATACAAAATTCTTTCATAACTCGATCAAGGCAAGGAGGAGACGGAACAGGGTTACAAGGTTGAGAAGGGAGGATGATTCAGTAGCGGAGGGGGTGGAACAAGTTGGGGCTGTTATGTTGGAATATTATCAAACTTTGTTTACATCACAGGCAGGGGATGATGCTGATGTTATTGCCTGCATTAAAAGGAGTATAACCACGGTGGATAATGCAATGTTGTGTGTACCAGTGAGTATGGAGGAGTTCAGGAAGGCGGTGCTTTCCATGCATCCAGACAAATCACCGGGACCAGATGGTTTTGGCCCAGGTTTTTACCAGTATTTCTGGCCCACCGTTGGGGGGGGGGGGGGGGGGGAGGTAACCAAGTTCTGCCGAGATTTCTTAGATTCAGCAAAGCTCCCTAGTAAGGCGAATGATACGCTGGTAGTTCTAATCCCGAAGAAGCCGGTTCCTGAAACGATGAAGGACCTAAGACCTATAGCACTATGTAATGTCCTATACAAGATTGTGGCGAAAGTGTGTGCCAATAGGGTAAAACCGCTCCTTGATAAGATTATTTCAAAGGCGCAAAGTGCGTTTGTGCCTGGGCGACTGATTACTGACAACATTATGCTTGCTTACGAGACACACCATTGGTTAAAATGAAAGACGCATGGGGTGAACGGTGTGGCAGCGCTAAAAATAGACATGAGTAAGGCCTATGACAGGGTCGAGTGGCGTTTCTTGCGTTCTGTTATGTTGAAAATGGGCTTTAGTGAGAAGTGGGTAAGCATTCTTATGGAGACAGTAACTAGCGTTAAGTATCACATTTTTCATGAGCAGTTGGGGCCAATTGAGCCGGGACGTGGTTTATGTCAGGGAGATCCGCTATCGCCTTATTTGTTTCTGATGGTTGTAGAGGGGTTGAGTGCTTTGATAGACAATCGTATGAGCCGTAGCTTATTACATGGGGTATGTTTAGCAAGGGGGGCACCACCAGTGACCCACCTCTTGTTTGCAGATGATTGTTTCCTTTTCATGCGTGCTAATTTGGTTGAAACTAGTCAGATGAAGGAAATTTTGGATATATATGCAGGAGCTTCGGGCCAGTTGGTCAATTATGATAAGTCAGTGGTTTGTTTTAGTGCCAACACTCCCAGTGCTAACAGGGATGAAGTTCAGAATGTCCTCGGTGTTACCCCGGGGGATACATCGGGCCGGTATCTAGGGCTCCCATCTTTAGTAGGTCGGAGCAAGAAGGCAATATTGGGTTTTTTAAAGGATCGTATTTTGGCCCATGTGAGGGGTTGGAATACTAGGTTCTTATCGAGAGCTGGCCGGGAAGTTTTACTTAAAGAATGTTCTGCAGGCTATTCCCAGTTTTGCTATGATGGTTTTTTGTTTGCCTTTAACCTTGTGCAGGGAGATTGAGGTTATTTTTAATCAGTACTGGTGGACGGGGAAGGTATGCGGTGGTACGGGGCTGCAGTGGAAGGCTTGGCGTAATCTTTGTGTGCCAAAGAAGAAAGGGGGTTTGGGATTCAGGACTTTGAGAGATATGAATGTTGCACTTCTGGGGAAGCAGGTATGGCGATTGTTAACTCGTCCGAACTCATTGGTAGCACAGGTGTATAAGTGTAGGCATTACCCCAATACTTCCATTCTGGATGTTGTGGTTGGCCACAACCCATCATTCATTTGGCGTGGCTTAGTGGAGGCAAAGGGGGCGATTAAACAGTGGGCACAGCGGAGTATAGGCGATGGTCGAACCACTACAATAGGGGGAGATCCATGGCTTGTATTGGCCGATGATCCTTATGTGCGTACACAACTTCATGAAACTGTAAGGAGTGCCCCGGTTAGTTCTTTGATGAATGGTGCAGGTACTGGTTGGGACTGTGAGTGTGTCAAGGACCTGTTTGATGAAAGGGACTCGAATCTTATACTTAATTTGCCGGTAAGTACACGTAGGCCTAATGATGCATGGGTATGGAAAGGGGATCCTAAGGGTCTATATACTGTTAAATCATGCTATAGGTTGCTTGTGGGGGAGTTTCAAACTGACCGATCATGGCATTTGATATGGAACTTACAGGTTCCGCCCAAGGTTCGTATGTTTGCATGACAGCTTGCATCGAAGGTTCTGCCTACAAGGGATGCTTTGTTATCCAAACGGGTTGCATGTGTGATTCATTGTCATATGTGTGGCGTGGCGGATGAGTATACTGAGCATTTGTTCCGTGATTGCCTTCATGCCCGGGCAGTTTGGATGTCACTCCAGTTGCCGCATACAGCATATGATCAAGGTGATATATTAGACTGGTTTTTTGCTAATTTGACTAGCCTAACGGGTGATATTCAGTGCAAGTTTGTAATGCTTTGTTGGGGGCTATGGGGTAGCAGGAATGATAGTGTCTGACGGGGGATTCCTTACACGAAACAAGCTGTATTTCAACGTGCGGTAGCTTACTGGGAGAATTGGTTTGCGGTACAGGGCGAAGGTGGAGATGGATAACAGCATCAGCAGCCTATAATCTCTTGGCAATGTCCAGCTGTGGGAAGGTTGAAATTAAACACTGACGCGGCATTGGATGCGGCCCATAACAGGATGGGGTTGGGATGGATTTTACGTGGGGAGGATGGACAATTTTTGGCTGCTAAGAGTATCCGGGTTCAGGGCTAGTACACGGTGGCTGAGGCAGAAGCTCTTTGTTTACGGGAGGCTTTAGCTTGGTTGAGTACCACGGGGATGGGTGATGTGGATGTAGAGACTGATTCCCAGTTATGTTATTATGCATTGTCATCTAAACCTTTTTTTTCTGCTTTCGGTTTCCTTATTAATGATGTAAAACAAGTTGCCTCTTCAATTAACGGGGTCAACTTTAGTTGTGTAAGGTGATCTGCGAATCGTGCAGTCCATGCTTTAGCTCGGGAAGCCGTTTCTGTGACAGGTCCCGGGGAGTGGTTTGACTTGCCTCCCCTTTATCTGGTTGCAGTTCTTGGTGATGATTTAATGAATTAAGTTCCTTTTTCCAAAAAAAAAATATATAAAATAAACAAAATTTGTTATAAATATTTTATTAGTGGCCATTAAACCATTAGACCTTTCAATAGCTTAACCTTTAATCATGTATTGATGTTGAGTATGTGAAAGGTTGTATGAAACCTTATATAATGGAGTGAAGGCTAATGAAATGACACACATATTGTTGTGCCCTACATTTGGTGTTCTTCTTCTTCTTCTTCTCATTTTTCTCTTCTTTACGTATACACGCATACATATATATGAACCTCCGGGCGAGTTACCGTGCAAACATCACGTGAGAAGTGAGCTAGTTGATAGGTCAAACTACAACACGTTATCAGCACGAGTCTCTATCGTAATCTCCGGCGAACGGTACCATTGGTTCATTTTTCCTGTGCATTTTTGTTTTTGAATCATATGACATTGTTTATATATAAATATTATGTGTATATATGGCTATGAGTTTGGTTTGGGACCTTCAATTATTGTTTCTATGAAATGAGTGATAATTCTTCATGTTTGTTAACAATTTTTTAGTAATGAACTCATCATCAAGACATGGTTAAGAATTTAGGTAAATATTTGAATTTGTAAATACATATTATTTATCCAAATTCTCTCAATTCATGTATATGAGTTAGATTCTACATATGTCATGATGCTTTGAAATGGTAAATACACGTGGTTATATGTTAAATTGTATGTATATACGTGCAAATGTAAATGTGTTCATTTGTATATATATACATATGGGTTAAATATACATGTGTTTGATATTTACAAGTGAAACAATGATTCTTGCACTATTCTCCATTATTGGAATTTACTATATTCACTTAAAATGACTTCATGCCTTACGAAAAGATAATATTTACTATATTGATCATGTAGATTGATTATGTACTATTCTCCATTTTTGGCATTTATGCTTCTTTTGAAAAATACACATAAACTGACTACATGGAGAAGTATGAATCTATATGAGAACATGTGAAATATTCCATTTTCACATTCTATTTGAAATTTGCTTACAAGACATGTTTTTCACATGAATATCAACTACTGTTTCTGTAAGTATAAGTTGCATCAAATGATGATCTTGTAGATCATACCTTTCATTGAAAATGTGAATTTATTAAGATCACTTATGATTGCAGCAGTTAGTTAGCTTGGGCTCTTGATATTGAAATATATTCGGCATCTAAAGAATTGAGCCAAGTTTTTTGTTGCTAAGTCACAGAGCACTAATGCCTAGAAGGCACAAGCTCTCATTTCCATGCATCACCACGACCTTAAAATGAGTATCTGATTGATAAAGAACCCCTTGAATTAATGGAAGTTCTTGAAGGACTATTCCGACCAGAAGTCATCAAATGTTCTTCCTCAGACACATTTTGACTAGTTTAATCTCATGTTTAATTTTGAGATTATAATGTAATTCAACGATTAACTATAATTTAGCTATGTACAAAATAGTCTCGCAAGTGAAACTCTAAACAAGAAGTTTCAGAGAAATATTTATTTGGAAAGACATTGCCAACTTTTCATGCGAGTAATTTGACTCCAGCAGTAGTACAAGACAACAAATTATGAGAAGCATTCTAAGCTGATTTTAGCACTCCTTGTGGCTAAGAAACATAACTAGTTGTTGATGAAGAATCAAAATGCATGTCTGGTCGGTTTTTGCACAGGTGCCTGAAGCACATAATGTTACCAGTTGAGCAACTTTATAAGGGGTTGCAGTCGAAATTATAACCGGTGTGATATGAGTTTCGAGCTCAGAATAAGAAACAAAGTGGTCAATATATTCAAGGACGACCAAACTCATCGAGGCAAAATCCTAGCCAGAAGTAGGTTTGCTAACAATGTGGGTGCATTTGGTCGTCGAAGAATGCGCATCATCTTGATGATTTTAGGTAATTTTCCGGAAGCAAATACTGTGATACATGATGATAATGAAATGATGAGGTATTGATGAAGAAATGATTGGTGTCATGATAATGTTTGGGTAATTCATGAAAATATATTCATGGATAAAAAGGTTAGTTTATGCCTGAAGCATGAAGCATCCGAGAAGTTAACTCATGCTTGAAGCATCTGAGAAGTTAGTTTTTGCCTGAAGCACTCGAAAAGTTAATTCATACCCGCAATAACTGATTGCGTAACCGAGTAGTATATACACTCCATATGTGTTTTGAGTGCAAAGTTATTTTTTTGGATGCAAATTATTATGAGGGCAATGTGATTTTACTTTGCTGATTTTACTACTTGGATTAAATATTCGAAATTTACTATTCGGGAAGTTTACTCCTCAGAGTTACTTCTCTTAGTTTGCATGCTTATTTATGGAATATTTTCTCATGCATGCAACATGACTCTCATATGAAATTGACCGGTTGCTAATTCAAGATTGAATTATTATCAATCCCGGAAGAATTGCTATTATCAACAAATTATGAGAATCTTCTTTTGACTAAATTTATGATGTCAACATGACTAAATTCTCTCAGAATATGGCTTAGTGCAATTCTGTGTTGTTTAAGGAGTGATATACTCCTTTATAAAAATGATCTTTGACTTATTGTCATACATGATATGATTGATTTAGATGTTATTGGTTTGGAAGATAGAAGCGAATTATATCATATCAATTTGCCCGAAGCAAACGAGAGAATGAATTATATCATATCAATTTGCCTGAAGCAAACGAAGGAATAAATTATTTCATATTAGTTTGCCCGAAGCAAATGAGGGAGTGAATTATATCATGTGAATTTGCACGAAGCAATTCCCAAACCAATGAGTGAACTAATGTAAAGTTGAGGATAAGGATTTTTGGAAGATCTTGAAGATCTATTTTATTTGACAAGCTTCACAGCTTCCCTATGATTGTTGTGTACCCTTGTAATATCATTTGATATGTATGCTTTCATATCTGATTATATATTTTCTTGTTGGGGACATCAGTTTTATATGCTATTGTGGTTATCACAATCTCACCTACTGCATATCATAATTATTTCCCCTAGAACCTAGTACGTGGTATAAAACCAAACATTTCCCATCTGCGTTTTATTCACAGTGTGCAGTCTTTTTCCTATATCACCGCCATAGCGTACCTTTGTGGGCATGTATATGTTGATTATAAACCTCCATCTTTTATTTAAATTCTTAGAGCCCATGATAAGGGATCAATATATAATTAGGTACGCTGATTGCACACTTTATGAAGATCATTTCACGGCATTAGGGGGAGATAAGAGCTCAAATTTAATAGAATGCCGAGAAATTCTGTGGATGATTGATGAAAAAGATCTTCAATATTTAAATCCACGTACTAGGTAGACTGAACTAGAAGTTCAGAAGAAGTAAACTGAACTAGAAGTTTAGAAGATAATTAATCTGTCAATATATATATTGATAAAGAGTGACTAGGTCCTACATATTTTCCCCAACTTGGACCATATGTATCTACCAATGCTCCTTGACGCCAGAAGCGTGGAGACATGTTGGTATAATCCGCGAAAAGCTAAATCTAGTAGAAAATGGTGTCACTCTTGAAATCTCTTAAAGAAGTATGTCCTTAAAACATTCGTCCAGAAGGCAAAAACCCCAGTAAAATTTTAGGTGCACCCAAAATCATAATATTGGGGATGCGGAACGACCAGATAAAAATATCTTTGGGAAATGTCTAGAGTCTGGTTGAATTAGAAATTGCCATTATTTTATATATATGGGAGAAATTTATGAAAAATGTTATAGTTGTCGACAACAGAATTGCCTTTACAAATTGTTATCGTTATATGAGAATCTGGATCCAGAGCATGGCACCAGTTGTGCCTTGGTATTTTTTATGTATAATGGAGCAATTAAGGCATGTACAGCTCAGCTCGCTAAAACTGTATTCTCTTTATAACACGTACACCATTTAATGTTAACCCTGTAGGTTACAAATGGGTGTTTGTACGAAAGAGAAATACAAACAATACGGTGGTCTGATATAAAGCGAGACTGGTAGCTTAAGGGTTTTCGCAGAGACCCTGAATTAATTTTGATCAAATATTCTCTCCCACAACATATGGCATTACGTTCCGCAAATTAACATTATTGGCAGTGAATTATGAATTTAAATATGCAGTTGATGAACGTCATGACTGTAATTTACTGGTCATTAGACGCTAATATTTATTTGTAAATCCCCGATGGATTCAACACTTTTGGAATGTGGAAAGTGAAAATCGCAACGTGTATCATTAAATTACAAAATTCTTTGTAAGAATTGAATATTATTGACCTAGTGTTTTTCCTCCTGAAGAAGGAATGCATATTGAATGATTGAGTTGACTGTGTATTTTTCCTCCCGAAGAAGGAATATGCAAATATGTACCATTACGTGTTCGTTAAAGAATTGCTAATGGAGTTATTTGTTTATTATCATAGTCGATATTGATGGTTTAAATATCATTGAAACACATAGAGAGCTTGGTGATATCAACTCATGCCGAAAGACGGAGTTTTGAAATAAAAAACTTGGAAACCCAAGTATTGTCTCGACCTGAAGATCGAGCTTCTCCTTGAAGAAGTTTTATACACCAATTAGCCTATTTGAAAAATGTCTTGAAGATGTTTTATATGTATAAGTATTATTTACTTATCACACTAACGGTTGTCCAATAACCTCTTAAAGTAGATAAAGGACAATTTAGACTCGAAGATGATAATGAGGATATTTTGGGACTGGAAGTCCATTACTTGATATTTTTATTGGAGCACTATTATAGAACTAGAAGTTCTATAGTCGCATCAGGCCTGATATTGAATTTGCGATGAAATTGCTAGCAAAGTTTAGTGCTCCCTCTACAATGAAAATTGGAATGGTATTTAACATATCCTCCAGCACCTTCGATGTACAAAGATTTTGACGTTTATGTGAGAAACCAATATGTGGTTTTGATGGGCTACTTGGGCAATGGCTCTTTTATTTGATCCTTATGATGCCAAGTCCAAAACTGGTTATGTTATATTTTTACCCCCAATGTCCCATATGAGGACAAATAAGATTGTGTTGCACAAGCAAGTAATAGGTTGGTTAAGAGGAACCTTATAAAACATATTGCACCTAAGTCCTTCTACACACATGAACTCTGGAAGAGTGGTAAAATTATTATTGAAAAAGTTTACTCCAGTGAACAATCTTGCAGATATGTTCACTAAGTCTCTACCTAAAATTGGGATGCATAGGCTTAGAAGATTATTATCTTCAGGGGGAGCGACAACCCCTAGCTACACTGGAATGGACAATCTAGAAGGTCTTTTGAAATCCTGAATATTATGCTACGAAAGCATTTGGTTGTACTCTTTTTTCTTTAGCTAAGTTTTTCCCCACGGGGTTTTCTTAGGCTAAGGTTTTTAATGAGGCAATCGATGTTGGTGCACTTGAATGGATAGTCCTGAAGACCTTTGAAATCATGAAGATTATGCCCGGAAGGCTTATGGTTGTACTCTTTTCCTTAGCTAAGCTTTTTCCCACTGGGTTTTCTTAGGCTAAGATTTTTAATGAGGCAACCAGTGCAACACAGTGGTTTGACATACTTCGTGTACTCTTTTCCTCGTCTAGGTTTTTCCCACTGGGTTTTTCTAGCGAGGTTTTTAACGAGGCATGAGTATAGTTATTTAATGGCCAAGGGGGAGTGTTATAAATATTTTATTAGTGGCCATTAAACCATTAGACCTTTCAATAGCTTAACCTTTAATCATGTATTGATGTTGAGTATGTGAAAGGTTGTATGAAACCTTATATAATGGAGTGAAGGCTAATGAAATGACACACATATTGTTGTGCCCTACATTTGGTGTTCTTCTTCTTCTTCTCCTTTTTCTCTTCTTTACGTATACACGCATACATATATATGAACCTCCCGGCGAGTTACCGTGCAAACATCACGTGAGAACTGAGCTAGTTAATAGGTCAAACTACAACAAAATTCAATTTTTGTCAAGGATGCTTTAAGAATCATAATGCATGCATAGTTTGAAGATAAATGCGCTCTAAAGGGTCAAAATTTTAAAATTGTGATTTACTATATAACATCATGAGTTGATGTTATTCAACCATAAACTTATTTTAGTTTACTTTATATCATGTCATTCATGTGGCATTTCATAATCCCTATTTGTTATTATTGATATAGATTATAATATGATTATTTTATGGCTATAATATGTGATCCTTAAAGAACTATTTTCAATAAACAAGAAATATATTTAACAATCACTATAATATATTTCAATAAAAATGTAAAAAGAAAAATATTAACAAAAGTTATACCTTTGTTAAAAAAAAAAAAATTACATACTCCTGTCTGACACAAATTTTTATATTAAAATATAATTTAAAACGAATAAAGTGACTCAATAATTTATTACTCCGTAAAAATTTTTAAATGTGATTAGAATAATTTAATCATTTTAATTTCACGTTTCTCCCCTGTCACAGCTTTAAATCTTTAATTTAACAATAACGACTTAAGTTTCAATCTATGGTTGGTCGAAAGAGAACCTATGGTCGACCTTCTTGATTTGCTCCGCTCTGCAATTCATAGGAAATTTTGACGCCAAAAAATGGTAACCAATCATTTGAATGGCCAAGGTTTAACGGACCCATAAAACTACAAAAGCTACGACCTACGAGCCGAGGAATAAGGAGTGTAGGACAAATGGCCACCTCACATCTTCCCGCCCTCATTTTCCGGCCAACCCTCCACCGGAAATTCCACCCCCAACTACCCACCACCATCTCCCTCACCCATCCCCAACCCCAACCCCAACCCAGAAAAGGCCTCAGATCACATGAGAAGCTGAAGGGGGGTGTTCGGGTAAGCATGGCGGATCAAGAAACTAGTCCGCCGCCAAGCCCAAAACAAGAAACTAGTCCGCCGCCAAGCCCAAAACAAGAAACAGACCCCAATTTGGAGGAGCTGGTGGATTTCTTGTACAAAGATCTTCCCCACCTCTTCGATGACAAAGGAATTGATCCCACGGCCTACGATGCTGCTGTGAAGTTCAGAGACCCCATCACCCGCCACGACAACCTTAGAAGCTACCTCCTTAATATTGCCACTTTGAAATACTTGTTTAGGCCTAAGTTCACCTTGCATTGGGTCAAACAGGTTAGCCTTCTCTCTCAACATTATTTCTCCTCAAAATAAACCGTAATTGTTCTTCAATTCTGTTGTAAATTGATTTTGTAATGTGGTTTGAGTGATTGATTTGGTGGTGCAGACAGGGCCCTATAAAATAACCACACGCTGGACTATGGTCATGAGGTTCCTTCTTCTGCCATGGCAACCTGAGTTAGTCTTCACCGGAACTTCTGTCATGAAAGTCAACCCAGAAACAAACAAATTTATCAAACATGTTGTAAGAATCTTACTATACCCTTCATACAAAACAAACTTTTCAAGATAAATCACTTTCTTTTTTTTTTTTTTTTTTTTCTGGATATTGTAGGATTACTGGGATTCAATTGTGAGCAGTGAATTTTTTTCTATAGAAGGTTTATTCGATGTAATACAGCAGGTGCAGTTTCATCCTAGCTAGCTAGCTTGTCCATGTTATTTATAATTTGTATATGTGTTCATCTTTGGTAATGTGAAGTGTGGCTTGAGCAGTTGTGGTTTTACAAGACCCCAGACTTGGAAACACCTTCTTATCAAATCCTAAAAAGAACTGCTAGTTATGAGGTTAGGTTTGTAGATCTTGATTGGAATTTAATTTCTAACCAAAACCCGAAACTTCTTAACTTTTACTATCTGGTTTTCTTGACAGAGTTTCTATTTGTTGTGATACAGGTAAGAAAGTATGATCCATTTCTAGTTGTAGAAGCGGATGGCAATACCTTATCAGGATCAAAAGGTTTCAAGGATGTGGCTGGGTGAGATTTTCGAATTCTAATTCATGTCTGTTATGTTCTTTTCTTTATTTGAAGTATGCAATGCAATGCAATCAATCAATCTTTTGCAACGGGTAAATAGGTATATCTTTGGGAAGAACTCTGAATCGGAGAAGATACCTATGACTACTCCCGTGTTCACTCAGGCATCAGATGATCAAAAATCCAAAGTCTCGATCCAGATTGTTCTTCCATCAACTAAATCTTTGGACAGGTGAAATTTGTTAATCTGCATAAATTTCTGGAAAACATATATATGCTGTGAAATGGCTATATGACATTTGAATTTCATTTGCAAAAGGAAACATAAAAAAATTAATCTTTTATGAATTCTTCAACAACAGTTTACCAACCCCGAATGAAGAAGGATTAAAATTGAGGAAAGTTGAAGGAGGCATTGCTGCAGTGACCAAATTCAGCGGGAAACCAACAGAGAACATTGTTCTTGAGAAGGAGAAAGAGCTGAGGTCTAGTCTTATTAGAAATGGCCTCGAACCTAAACCGGGGTGCCTGCTTGCTCGCTACAATGATCCTGATAAAACTTGGGAACACATAATGGTATCCACTCCCATCCTCACTTGTTTTAGAATTGAAATACCCACACACTATTTCCATTTCATTACTTGATGGAATTTCGGGGGTCTATGACCTCAATTTCTTAAGATCACAACCATTCCCGACATATTCCAAATGTGCACTATTAACACGGTAACACCCCTTAAGCTACATCTCTAGAATGCATGTTAAGCATAATATATATGCAGTCTCGCTATTAGTTTAATCTTGTAGTTGAGGCGAACACATCCTTCAATTACGCTAGATCTCTATCTAATGATGTGAGGACTCGAGTGTTTGTGTTTTTCACCCACGCTTTTTGCTTGGCTCTATTTTGCGTATGCTAGCAATGATCCCTTCATCTCTATCTCTGATACCTGATTTCATTTACTGTGATGATTGAAGAGAAATGAAGTGCTTATATGGCTGGAGGAATTCTCACTGGATTGATGCTTTGGCAATTTTGGTACCTGGAGTAGAGGAGCAGTAGCACATATTTTTCATATAGGCAGCAAAAAAAAAAAAAAATGACAATATAAAAATTCATGTACTATTCAAGCTGTATATGTGTTTTTGTTGTTTTGTACTGAATAGTTGTAATTTGTAAAGATGCACTTGATTTTGAGATATGGATCAGGGAGGAATGTTGATTGATAACAAACAATCCTAGTCTACTAGGTTAGTGTAGTATTTGTTCTAAGGTTTCTTTAGATAGTTTAATGTAAAAGGAAAAAAAAAATCATTTTTTTAATTTCCTTATTGAAATGATATGATTTAGTGCTATATATTTTACACAAGTAATCAGAGATTCCCAAATCCTAGGCAAATTATTGTGTGGACCACGGTCCAAAATAACACTGTGAATATTATGAGTAAAAATAATGTACATTATGTTTTAAAATAATGTACATTAAGCTTTAGAATGATGTACATTATGTTTTAGAATAATGTACATTATGTGTTACAATAATATACATTACGTGTTAGAATAATAAATCATCTGGGGTAATATAATGTACATTATGTTTTAGAATAATGTAAATTATGAGTTATAAAAATGTATGTTGTAGTTGGGCGTGCGAAAAAATAAAATTAAACAAAATAACGTCGCTTTTGGACCGTGGTCTACACAACTGTGTGGAATATGATCCATGCAATAACTATTGCAAATCATGGGCTTGGGCCAGGCCTGGGTTAGCATAGACCAAGATCGGTCCGGAATAACCTGGGCCAGTCTCGTGCTGCGCCTACCCTAGACCTCTTGTACAATCATTATTGTGTGGACCATATTTTGTCTATTGTAAAATAATGTACATTCAGTACAAAAATAATATACATTGTATTCAGGGGATGTACATTATTTTTATTCTGAGTGTAAATTATATTATATAATGTACATATAATACAAAAATATTGTACATTTAGTATATTAAAAATATACTTTTTGTTATGGTGTTGTGTGGATCATGGTCCACACTCCACACAATAATTTGCCCCTCTTGTGGGCTAGCTAGTTCCGGGCTAGGACTCTGGTATTTTGGTATATATTTATTTTTATATAAAATAATTATAAATTAATTTTTTCGTTGAGATTTGAACAGTTGATTTCATAATTAAGTAATTTTCAGTTAAGCTACTCCCCCTTTGATATAACAATACTAATATATCTACTAATCTACTATCTACTAAATATAATATAAATATATAATAAATAAACATATACTATATATCTATCTACTATAGTAATAAGAGCCCAAGAGGGTTAGGCCTATAATGGGTAGAAAAAATCGCCGTCAAATTTTTTAATCAAATGAATGGCACAGATTAATCAGATTTTAATTTTTCCTTAAGATTTTCTAATTTATCCTTAATGAACATGATTATCCGTTAACTTTTCCGTTAAATATTATCTTTTCTATTAATTTCTGTTAGTTCACCGTTAACTTATTGATTTCAATAAAAAAGGTCTTTGGTTCGAACTCCATCCCAGTCAAAGTTGGCATAATTAGTATTCTATTTTACTCTTATTAAATTACTAGTTTTTTACGCGCATTGCGCGATTGAGATAATGCCCAATATTTTTTTAAATAAGTACTCTAAAGTATATAAATGCAAGATTATATTGGAATTGTTCATGCATAGATACTTGAATGTTGAATTTGCGTATTTAAATAGGTAATTCTAAGTTTACAAATGCAAGATACTATACTCAAGATTGATTATAATTGTATAGGTATGGTTGAAACCAAATACGGGACATAAGGGAGAACAAATAAAAATTAAGGCATAAAATATTAAATATATACTAATATTGAAGAGCTAACTGCTGATTGCCAAACAAGGACATTGCAAAGTAGTTTCCCACTTCAATTTGTTGTGTGAATGATTTAAATACTCCTTTTGTCAATAAATCCCCAAGGTAGTTAATATGATTGGTTTAATTATATATATATATATATATATATATATATATATATATATATATATATATATATATATATATATATATATATATATTAAACAAGTATATATTATTATTATTATTATTATTATTATTATTATTATTATTATTATTATTATTATTATTATTATTATTATACCCTTAGGTCATTTTATATGGTAATTTACCCAGCTAATTTTTTCAAATATCTTTTTACCAACCGTTGATACAATTCGCTGGTCAAATCCGCTAATATAATCCGTTAACTGCTGATTGTCAAACAAGGACATTGCAAGGTAGTTCTCACTTTTTGTTGTGTGATTTGAATACTCTCTTTGTCAACAAATCCCTCAAGTAGTTAATATGATTGGCTTTATTAATTATATTTTTAATATTTTTTCATGGTATTAATAAAATACTTGGTAAATATATATATATAACATTATTTTGTATTATAACTTTGATATTTAATTAAAAAATAGCGCACAAAAAAGATAATAGACAATGTAGTGAATATAATCCATTGATGAATTTGAATGTAAAGAATTTTCACATTGGAGAAATATAAAGACAATATAACTAATAAAATTATTTTTCTTAATTAATTTATTGATAATGAATAATTTTTTTTTAATAAAGACATTGTAGGGATAATGTAGCGAATATAATCAATTGATGAAATTGAATGTAAAGAATTTTTATAATGGAGAAAAATAAAGACAATATAACTAATTAAATTATTTATCTTATTTAATTTATTGATAATGAATAATTTTTTTTTGAATAAAGACATTGTAGACACATAATTCTAAATTAATGAAATGCATATGCATGTATTATTTTTTGTTGTAGCTACTAAATTATTATCTACTATCTACTATACTAATAAGAGCCCAAGAGAGTTAGGCCTATAATGGGTAGAAAAAATGGCGGTCACAGATTTTAATCAAATGAATGGCTCAGATTGATTAAAAGATTGATAAGATTTAAATTTTACACTAAAATTTCCTAAAATACCCACACACCGTTACTAATTCCGTTAAAATTTTAAGAATTGCCGTTAGTTCACCGTTAACTTACTCATTGATTTCAATAAAAAAAAAAGGTCTTAGGTTCGAACCTCATCCCAATCAAAGTTGGCATAATTAGTACTCTATTTTACTCTTATTAAATTATATATAAATAATAATTTAGTAGCTATAACAAAAAATTATAGATATGCATTTCTTTAATTTAGAATTATGTGTCCACAATGCCTTTATTCAAAAAAAAATTATTCATTATCAATAATAATAAAATAATAAGAGCCCAAGAGAGTTAGGCCTATAATGGGTAGAAAAAATGGCGGTCACAGATTTTAATCAAATGAATGGCTCAGATTGATTAAAAGATTGATAAGATTTAAATTTTACACTAAAATTTCCTAAAATACCCACACACCGTTACTAATTCTGTTAAAATTTTAAGAATTGCCGTTAGTTCACCGTTAACTTACTCATTGATTTCAATAAAAAAAAAAAAAGGTCTTAGGTTCGAACCTCATCCCAATCAAAGTTGGCATAATTAGTACTCTATTTTACTCTTATTAAATTATATATAAATAATAATTTAGTAGCTATAACAAAAAATTATAGATATGCATTTCTTTAATTTAGAATTATGTGTCCACAATGCCTTTATTCAAAAAAAAATTATTCATTATCAATAAAATTAAATAAAAGAAATAATTGTATTAGTTATATTGTCTTTATTTTTGTACAATATAAAAATTCTTTATATTCAAATTTATTAATTGATTATATTCGCTACATTGTCCTTACAATGTCTTAATTCAGTGAAAAAAAATTATTCATTATCAATAAATTAATTAAGAGAAATATTTTCATTAGTTATATTGTCTTTATTTTTCTCAAATGTAAAAATTTTTACATTCAAATTCATCAATTGATTATATTCACTACATTGTCTATTATCTTTTTTTGTGCACTATTTTTCTAATTAAATATCAAAGTTATAATACAAAATAATGCTATATATTTATTTACCAAGTATTTTATTAATACCATGAAAAAATTAAAAAAATATATAATTAATAAAGCCAACCATATACCAGGACTATGTGGTCCAATGGTATTCGGGTTGGACTTCCATTTGGAAGGTTATGAGTTCGAGCCTCAGTGGAGGCGTTATTAGCTCTTTGTGTTTCAGTAGGTTGAGAAAGTATATGAACAGATACTACAATGTAATAGAGCTAGTAGCATTCAAAAAAAAAATAAAAGAATAAAGCCAACCATATTAACTACTTGAGAGATTTTGTGACAAAGAGAGTATTCAAATCACACAACAAATTGAAGTGAGAACTACCCTGCAATGTCCTTGTTTGACGATCAGCAGTTAGCGGATTATATTAGCGTATTTGACCAACGAATTTATTTAATTATTAACATTGGGTAGAAAAAATGACCGCCAAATTATTAATCTACTATATATATATATATATATATATATATATATATATATATATATATATATATATATATATATATATATATATATATACTAATAAGAGCCCAAGAGAGTTAGGCCTATAATGGGTAGAAAAAATAGCGGTCACAGATTTTAATCAAATGAATGGCTCAGATTGATTAAAAGTTTGATAAGATTTAAATTTTACACTAAATTTCCTAAATACCCACACACCGTTACTAATTCCGTTAAAATTTTAAGAATTGCCGTTAGTTCACCGTTAACTTACTCATTGATTTCAATAAAATAAAAAAGGTCTTAGGTTCGAACCTCATCCCAATCAAAGTTGGCATAATTAGTACTCTATTTTACTCTTATTAAATTATATAAATAATAATTTAGTAGCTATAACAAAAAATTATAGATATGCATTTCTTTAATTTAGAATTATGTGTCCACAATGCCTTTATTCAAAAAAAAATTATTCATTATCAATAAATTAAATAAGAGAAATAATTGTATTAGTTATATTGTCTTTATTTTTCTACAATATAAAAATTCTTTATATTCAAATTTATTAATTGATTATATTCGCTACATTGTCCTTACAATGTCTTAATTCAGTGAAAAAAAAATATTCATTATCAATAAATTAATTAAAAGAAATATTTTCATTAGTTATATTGTCTTAATTTTTTTCAAATGTAAAAATTTTTACATTCAAATTCATCAATTGATTATATTCACTACATTATCTATTATCTTTTTTTTGTGCACTATTTTTCTAATTAAATATCAAAGTTATAATACAAAATAATGCTATATATTTATTTACCAAGTATTTTATTAATACCATGAAAAAATTAAAAAAATATAATTAATAAAGCCAACCATATTAACTACTTGAAAGATTTTGTGACAAAGAGACTATTCAAATCACACAACAAATTGAAGTGAGAACTACCTCGCAATGTCCTTGTTTGACAATCAACAGTTAACGGTTAGCGTTAGCGGATTTGATCAGCGAATTTATTTAATTATTAACATTGGGTAGAAAAATGACCGCCAAATTATTAAATCAAATGAATGGTTCATATTGTTCAGGTTTTAATTTTTTTCTTTTAAGATTTTCTAAGTTATCCTTAATTATATGATTATCCATTTAACTTTTCCGTTAATTCACCGTTAGTCTAATTCTAATATTAAAGTCTAATATAGAATTATAACTACACCATTAATCTAATTCTAATATTAAAGTCTTAATAGAACTTAACCACAAATCCTAATGTCGGAATCTCCTCAAACAATATTAGTATATATTTAATATTTTATGCCCTAATTTTTATTTGTTCTCCCTTATGTCCCGTATTTGGTTTCAACTATACCTATACAATTATTTTATTGACAATTATAATCAATCTTGACTATATTATCTTGCATTTGTAAACTTAGAATTACCTATTTAACTCGCACGGGCTTAGCTCAATGGTTTAGTGGGTAGAATTTGGGATAAGAGACCAAGGTTTGAACCTTGGCGGCGGCAGTGCCGGAATTATGTCCAATGTGGGCAGATTCCTTGTGCGTATCAGCATTTGGCCTTGTCTGCTGAACCATTGAGTCACCGTGATTTACAACTTCCCACAATGCTCTATCGGGTCGGAGTGTGGGGGGGCCCTTGGGGTTGGGGACTCAACCTTTGGGAGAATAATTACCTATTTAAATACGCAAATTCAACCTTCAATTATCTATGCATGAACAATTTCAATATAATCCTGCCTTAATATACTTTAAAGTACTTATTTAACAAAAAAGCATTGGGCATTATCCTAATCGCGCAATGCGCGTAAAAAACTAGTTTAATTTAATAAGAGTAAAATAGAGTACTAATTATGTCAACTTTGATTAGGATGGGGTTCGAACCTAAGACCTTATTGAAATCAATGAGTAAGTTAACGATGAACTAACAGAAATTAACAGAAAAGTTAACGGAAAATCATATTCATTAAGGATAAATTAGTAAATCTTAAGGAAAAATTAAAATCTGATCAATCTGAGCCATTCATTTGATTAAAAATTTGACCGCCATTTTTTCTACCCATTATAGGCCTATAATAACTCTCTTGGGCTCTTATTAGTATATATATATATAGTAGATAGTAGAAATAATAATTTAGTAGCTACAACAAAAAATAATACATATGCATTTCTTTAATTTAGAATTATGTGTCTACAATGTCTTTATTCAAAAAAAAAAAAATCATTATCAATAAATTAAATAATAGAAATAATTTCATTAGTTATATTGTCTTTATTTTTCTCCAATATAAAAATTCTTTATATTCAAATTCATCAATTGATTATATTCGCTACATTGTCCCTACAATGTCTTTACTAAAAAAAAAAATTATTCATTATTTATAAATTAATTAAGAGACATAATTTTATTAGTTATATTGTCTTTATATTTCTCGAAGTAAAAATTCTTTACATTCAAATTTCAAATTCATCAATTGATTATATTCACTACATTGTCTATTATCTTTTTTGTGCACTATTTTTTTAATTAAATATCAAAGTTATAACACAAAATAATGCTATATATTTATTTACCAAGTATTTTATTAATACCATGAAAAAATTAAAAAATATAATTAATAAAGTCAATCGTATTAACTACTTGAGAGATTTGTTGACAAAGAGAGTATTCAAATCACATAACAAATTGAAGTGAGAACTACCTCGCAATGTACTTGTTTGACAATCAGCAGTTAGCGGTTAGCGTTAGCGGATTATATTAGAGAATTTGACCAGCGAATTATATCAACGGTTGGTAAAAAGATATTTGAAAAAATTAGCTGTTTAGATTAACATGTAAAATGACCTAAGGTATACATAATAATAATAATAATAATAATAATAATAATAATAATAATAATAATAATAATAATAATAATAACAATAATAATAATAATAATAATAATAATAATAATAATAATAATGATAATTGTTTAAAAAAAATAAAAAAGAATAAATTAAGCTAATCATATTAACTACTTGGAGGATTTATTGACAAAAAGAGTATTCAAATCACACAACAAATTGAAGTGGAAAACTATCTCGCAATGCCCTTGTTTGACAATCAGCAGTTAGCTCTTTAATATTAGTATATATCTAATATTTTATGTCCTAATTTTTATTTGCTTTCCCTTATGTCCCGTATTTGGTTTCAACCATACCTATACAATTATTTATTGACAATTATAATCAATCTTGACTATATTATCTTGCATTTGTAAACTTAGAATTGCCTATTTAAATACGCAAATTTAACATTCAATTATCTATGCATGAACAATTCCAATATAATGTTGTCTTGATATACTTTAAAGTACATATTTAAAAAAAAACATTGGGCATTATAATGTTATATATTTACTTACCAAGTATTTTATTAATACCATGAAAAAATTAAAATAAAATATAATTAAAGCCAATCATATTAATTACTTGAGGGATTTGCTGACAAAGAGAGTATTCAAATCACACAAAAAATTGAAGTGAGAACTACCTCTTGACAATCAGCAGTTAGCGGTTAGCATTAGCAGATAATATTAGCGAATTTGACCAGCGAATTATATCAACGATTGGTAAAAGATATTTGAAAAAATTAGCTATTTAGATTAACATGTAAGTTGTTGTTGTAATTTGATTATTTGGCAAATTCGTGAGACTCGAGACCCATTGGGTGGATACATCATTTTATATTCTCTCTACCCTGATATCTAGGGTTTCCCTATGTTACATCCCTGAGGTCTAGGGTTTATGCTTTTTCGATCGGAAAAGTTGACGACGAACGGTGAGCCAGCACGCTAGGCACTGCGTACAACGACATGGATATTCAGGACATAGTCGGAGGTACGACGGACATCTCGTTGGAGGAGGAAGACCTGGGGGTTCGGTTCGAGGATGAGCCCACCGGGAGTATTGATGCTACGGTGACGCACCAGACCTGGTCCATTGTTGGCCGGTTCTTGACAGATAGAGCCCTCAAGATTGAGATGATGAAGAGGGTGCTGGCGAATGCATGGCGGCCGTTGATGGGTATTGAGGTTGCGGACGTGGAGGCGAACCTCTTTATCTTCACTTTTTTTTTTTATGAGGCGGACATGAAGCGTGTCCTGGAGGAGGGGCTGTGGGCCTTTGAGAACGCAACGCTGATCTGTCAGGCTTTGAACGCGGATGAACACCCTACGCAGGTTGTCTTGAATACCGTTAATCTATGGGTGCAAGTTTTTGACTTGCCGATCGGCTACCGTACGGAGAGGGTGGGGGATTTCATGGGGGTCTATTTACGGATTGATGACCGGAATTTCGAGAGACCGTGGGCAACTTTTTATAGGGTGAGGGTCAGGCATGATGTGGCTAAACCTTTGAAGCGCCGCATGAAGATGATCCTTCGTGATGGTACGTGGGCATGGATCAATTTTAAATATGAGCGTCTGCACATGTTTTGTTACTTTTGTGGTAAGATGGGACACACGGACAAATTTTGTTTGGACGCGAGGCGTTCATCATTGAAGCCGGAGCAGTTCTTGTATGGTCCGGCTATGAAAGCGGGAGGGCTAGGTCCGGCTAAGGTGTTTGGTGATAGGTAGTTTCAATTGGGGCAGGAAAGGCGACGGGTGATAGGGTACGGCGGTGCGCCGGTAGGTAGGGGTTCGGCAGTGGGCTACGCGGGGCCGGTGGGCAGTGGGTTGCCACGGGGGGGGGGGGGGTGTTGGAGACGGTGGGGTGGCCGGCAGTACGGTGGCTGGCAGTACGACGGGGGGGGGGGGGGTGGGGGGCTGGTAGTACGGCTGTGGGGGTTTCGGGTGAGGGGGCTGGTGTGGAGGAGGGTGTTCGGGTTGATCCGAAGCGCCGTAGGGGGGCGGATGGTGGGGTGGTGGATGCGGGTAGGGGCATGCAGGTGGATACAATTTCTTCTCGTATGGTGGGACCTGGGGACCAGGCCCGCCCTCCCCAATGAGTACCTTATTTTGGAACTGCCGTGGCTTGGGCAATCCACGGACGGTTCAGGAAGTCGAGGACCTTGTGTCCAAAAGGAAGCCAGATTTTGTTTTTCTAATGGAGACGATGGTGGATGGGGATCAAACTGAGAGACTGCGTGTTAAACTGGGCTTTGAGGGGAGTTTCAAGGTGGACAATGATCGTAGAAAGGGGGGTTTGTGCTTCTTATGGGTCAAGAACAATTATACTATCTTGATTAGTTATTCTTCTAATCATATTGACCTGGTTGTGACTTTACCGGGTAGGCCGCACTGGCGGCTCACGTGTTACTATGGATATGCTCAGAGGAGTAGGAGGAGGGCGTCATGGGACTACTTGAGATCACTGAAGGGGGCTTCTGAGTTACCTTGGGTGGTTTTGGGGGACTTTAACGATTTATTGGCCCAGTCGGAGAAAAGGGATAGATTACCGCATCCGAATGGCTTGATTATAGGTTTCAGTGAGGCTCTGGAGGATTGTGGATTGATGTATCTTCCTATGATTGGCTATCCGTTTACTTGGGAGAGGGGCAAGGGCACGGAGGACTGGGTGGAGGAGCGGTTTGATAGGGTAGTGGCTTGCATGGATTGGCTGGGTCGTTATGATAAGGCAAGGCTGTATAATATTCGTACGGACTTGTCGGATCACTCGGCTCTCTTTCTTGATATCTATGGGTCGGTGCAGGTCACTAGGCCACGTGGTTTTCGCTTTGAGAATGCGTGGTTGTTGGATGAGGGATGTAGGGGAGTGGTGGAACAGGAGTGGGCTGGTTCGCATGGGTTGGAGTTGCAGACTCGACTCGTTATGTGCGGTAAGGGTTTGAAGGCTTGGGGGGGTGACCGACACCACATGTTTGGTAAGTGGATAATTGAGTTAAGGAAGGAGATGGATAAGTTGCGAGGTAGGCGTGATCCTACTGCGCTGGCCCGGTTTGCTCATCTGGAAAGTTGTTTGAATATGGCTCTGTCTCAAGAGGAGGCCTTTTGGAGACAGCGTGCCAAGCAACACTGGTTGCAAGGTGCTGATCGGAATACTAAGTTTTTCCATAAGTATGCGTCCCACCAGAAAAAGAAGAATATTGTAGAGAAGTTGAAGGATGATGATGGGGTATGGAAGGAGGGGCAGGCATTGGATTCGCTGGTAGCTTCTTACTATAAACAGATTTTCACTTCTGGCGGGTCCCCGGGGTCTTTCAGTGTGGATTCTATGCGGTCTCGTGTGACTGAAGCTCAGAATGCTCACCTGCTGCGCCCTTTTGAGCCAGAGGAGGTCCGGGCTGCGCTGTTTTCTATGGGCAAGGATAAATCCCCGGGTCCTGACGGCATGAATCCTGGTTTCTACCAAGCCTTCTGGGATGTTATTGGTAAGGATGTTACGTCTTTTGTGCTTAATTGTCTCTCTCAGTCATCTTTACCTGATTGCTTGAATGATGCGAACATTGTTTTGATCCCTAAAAGTGTGTCCCTGAGCATGTTTCTGATTTGCGCCCGATAGCTTTGTGTAATGTTTTATATAAGGTTATGGCTAAAATGATAGCCAATCGTATGAAGCCTTTATTGGAGGATATTATTTCAGAATCACAAAGTGCCTTTCTTCTGGGTAGGCTAATCTCGGACAATATTTTGGTTGCCTCTGAGGTTGGCCATTATTTGAGAAGGAAGCAGTTAGGCTAGGTGGGGTGGGCAGCCCTAAAGCTTTATATGGCTAAGGCGTATGATAGGATGGAGTGGCCCTTTGTGAATGACATGTTGGTGGGTTTGGGCTTTGATGCTAAATGGATACAGCTGATTATGATGTGTATTAAGACCGTGCGGTATAGAGTTCTGGTAAACGGCAGGCCTACTGAGGTAATTGTGCCTTCTAGGGGTCTACGCCAAGGAGACCCCTTGTCTCCGTATTTGTTTATCATTTGCGCTAAAGGGTTGTCTTTGCTTTTGCAGGATTTACAGACGAAAGGCCGTATACATGGGTGTAGGGTGGCCCGGGGGGCACCACCGATCTCACATTTGTTCTTTGCAGATGACAACTTACTCTTCTTTAAAGCCAATCTGCAGGAAACTCAGGAGGTGAAGAGATGTCTGAGTGTCTATGAGACGTTTCTGGCCAAGCGGTGAATTTTCATAAGTCAAGTGTATCATTTAGCCGGAATACTCAAGGGGAGATGAGGGATCTTGTCTCAGGGACCTTATCGGTTGCGCAAGTAGAGGATTTCGGGAAGTACCTGGGGTTGCCTTCAGTTATTGGCAGGAACAGAAGGGCGGTTTTTGCTTACGTCGAGCAAAAACTGAGGCAAAGGTTCGGCTCGTGGAATAAGAGGATACTGTCTAAAGCCGGTAAGGAGGTACTTTTGAAGAGTGTTGCTCAGGCTATGCCAACTTATACTATGAGTATTTATCTGCTCCCGACTACTTTATGTGCCTCTTTGGAAAGATTGATGAACAGGTATTGGTGGGGTCAGAGTGGAAATGACGGTAGCATCCATTGGTTGGCTTGGGATAGGATGTGTAAACCCAAGAAGTACGGAGGAATGGGCTTCAAACGTCTTCAAGAATTCAATCTGGCTTTGTTGGCAAAACAAGGGTGGCGCCTGCTGACTAACCAGAAATCCTTAATGGCTCGGGTTTTTAAGGCAAGGTATTTTCCTTCTACGTCTTTTTATGAGGCTGTTTTAGGGGGTAATCCTAGTTATGTGTGGAGGAGCATTATGGCCAGTCAGAACTTGTTAAAGGCAGGGTGTCGGCGCAGAATTGGCAATGGCAGGAATACTCGGATATGGAGAATTCCTTGTCTACCGGATCTGCAGAACCCCTATGTTGATTCTGTCCAGGTAGCTAATGGCCATGATATGTTGGTTTCGGATTTGATTAATGCAAACACCGGGAGTTGGAATAATGATTATTTGTAGCAGCTTTTTAATACACGGGACGCAGGTTTGATCCGACAGTTGCCTGTGAGTACGGATCATGATGATATGTGGTATTGGGAAGGGGATATAAGGGGTTGCTATTCGGTGAAGGATGGTTATAGGCGGTTGGGTGTGATGACTACACAACAATCTTCTGTGTGGAATAATGTTTGGAAGTTGCAGGTCCCCCCAAAATGGAAGGTGTTTTTATGGAGAGCCCTTCTGAATATTTTGCCCACACTTGATAATTTGATAATTAGGAGGGTTGTCGATGTTAATTCTTGTCCGTCATGTGGCTTAGATGTGGAATGTGTTATGCATATATTTTGTTCTTGCCCATATGCTGTTAATGTTTGGCAACTTTCTCAAATTCAAATTCCTCCTATTGCAAACAGGAATTTTGTGCAATGGGCAGAGGAGTGGCTCGGTGCTACTACGGGTTTCTCTAGTGAAATGCAAGGCCGTATTTGCGGTGTGCTCCATTGTATCTGGTCTGCTCGCAGCGCTGCTGTGTGGGATGCAGCACTGCCGGGTCCTAGCGCACTGCTCAGCCGGCTTCACGCGCATTGGACGGCCTGGTTGGACACCGAGCACCGACGGGTTGCGGCGATCGGGAGACTTCCAGTCACAGCTCCTGCGCAGGCCACCTCTACTACGCCGATTCCTTTTTCTTGTTTTGTGGATGCTAGTTTTCATCGTCCGCAACGAGCTCCCGCTTTCGGTTTTGTGGTGTTCGGCGGCGAATTTTCCTTGGTGGTAGCGGCAAACGGTCCCTTGACATGTCCGTATGATCCCCTTCTAGCAGAAGCAATGGCGTTGTGTGAAGCCCTCTCTTGGTTAAAGGATAACGGGTACTCAGGTGGCTCAATCTACACGGATTCATCACTTTTGGTTTCTAGTCTTAATTCTGTTAGTTCGTTTCGCAATTATTTTGTTTATACGCTTTTGGCTTGTAAACATTTAATTAATGCGTTGCCTGGTACTGTAGTTTGTTTTGTTAATAGGGAGGCCAACCAAGTGGCGCACTCCTTATCTAAAGATGTAGCTGCTATTGCAATACGTTCTGTTTGGAGGGATGTTCCTCATTCGTTTATTGAGCCCATGCTGGCTAATACAATCTGATTATTTTGGCTTTCAAAAAAAAAAGATTAACATGTAAAATGACCTAAGGGTAATAATAATAATAATAATAATAATAATAATAATAATAATAATAATAATAATAATAATAATAATAATAATAGTAATAATAGTAATAATAGTAATAATAGTAATAATAGTAATAATAATAGTAATAATAATAATAATAATAATAATAATAATAATAATAATAATAATAATAATAATAATAATAATAATAATAATAATAATAATAATAATAATAATTAATTGTTTAAAAAAATAAAAATAAAATAATAGAATTTAATAAAAGAAATAAATTGTAGTGTCCTAGAACAAATTGTTGCTTCAAACTGTTGAATAATTAAACACTTTCTTTAGCATTTTGATCTTTGGGTTACATCATATTTACCAATCGTCCAATATCTTTGGGTTATATTGTAATTAAAAATTTTCAATTTTTACTACTTCATATAATTTCCTTAAATTAGGAATTTTTTTATCGATAATAATTTATTAAACAATAATGGTTGAACTAAATGAACACTGAGCAAAACACCTAAATGACTGGTACCGTTAATTCATTCATTGATCTTGTATATATGTGCATTCATTAAATATATTAGAACCCTTTGCAACAAAATACTTGGTTACTATTTAAAAAAAGTTTAGTAACAATTATAATAAATCTCCTATATTACATTGTATTCATATACTATGAGTTACATATTTAAATAAACAAATTCGACATTAAATTACTTATGTATGAACTTCTCATATATAATATTGCGTGATATACTTTCAAATATTTATTTAATTATAAACATTAGGCATTAACTCATTCGCGCAATGCGTGTGTAAAACTAATATATAAATATAATAAGAGCCAATGAAGTTAGGCCTATAACGGGAATTAAAAAGCGTTGGTCCAATTGTCTGTTGAAATGAATGGTTCATATTATTTCAATTTAGTATTTTATTAAAATTTTTCCTACTTTACCCTATGTTATATCATTTACTTTTCTAAAATATCATCGCATGCCGTCAGTGTAAACTTTAGTAACGGAATATTCCGTTAACTATTTATTATTCTTAACTTACTCATTGATTTTCATAAAAAAATGTCTAAGATTCGAACCACATCCCAATTAGAGTTGACATAATTGTTGAACATATACTATGCATATGTTATAGTGTATTAAAAAAAATATAATATAAAATTGAGAAAATTGTCAAATAGACCCTTAAATTTTCTTCAAAAGGGCAATTAGGCCCTTAAACTTTACAAAAGTGCAATTACACACTCGAACTTGTCATTTTGAGGCATATAACTCCAGTAGCCAGTTATTCACCTGGAATAACTAGTCATTCAAGATTCCAACAACATTCTGGTGACATTCCGGCGAATAAAAATTCTGGCAAGTAGAAAAATTAAAACAAAAAATCAAATGATCTCAATCGAAGAAGACGACCGGCCAATCGTCTTCTCCAATGGAGAAGTCGACCAGCAGGTCGTCCTCTCTAATGGAGAAGGCGACCAGATCTGGTCGTCTTCTCCATTGGAGAGGACGATAATGGAGATGCGACCTGACTAGTCGCCCTCTCCAGTGTCCAGTAGAAATAGTCGCAAGAATTTTTTTGTTTTTTTTTTTTTTGTTTTGTTTTTTGTTTTTTGAACGGCGGTGAACAGTAATTAGCAACGGTAACGACGGTCAACATCAATAATTTACCGGTAACAAAGGTTACTGGTAAATTAGACTTATTTGATTCATTTTCACAGGTTCGAGTGTGTAACATTTTCTCTATAAAATTTAAAATGAACTTTGGTCAATTAATTAGCCAGACTATATACTTACCATTCAAAGTTGAGCATCAAATATTACAAATAATGAACCTTGAAAAATCATTTTCTTGTATTTTTTAAAAACAAATCTAGGTTAAGTTTTTTTTTTCCCCCGTTTAATTAATCTTCTTTTGATTATTTAGGACGACTCAATATTTCAATTATGCTTTTGCATTATTGTTAATGATTTAGGTCATTATCATATTAATATTTTTTGTGTGTATTTCTATAATATACAATTGTACATTACTTTACAAATATTGTACTATTATTTTTTTATCAAACAAATTGTTCTTACATCATTAAAGTTATATATATATATATATATATATATATATATATATATATATATATATATATATATATATATCATGATCAAATATGAACTTGGTTTATCTTGATAAGTGTGGATTAATTTGATCCATCCATCTACATAACATTGAATTTCTAGCCACTTTGGGTTACACGTGAATGTAATAAATAGGTTTGGACATCCAATCTAACGACATATGGTCATAGCATCTTGATAGTTTTGAATCATATACGTAGCTAGCATCACAAGTAAAACTTGATGGTAAAACAATTTGTCATAACATCTTGGTCTTGTCTCGGTTGCATGCATAATATACAAGATACATATATAATATGTTGGATCTTGAGGTTCTGTAAATCTATCAAATTTGGATTAATTTGGTGATATTAATTTTTCTGTTGCCTTCTTGGTTACAGAATTGTGGAATTTTTTATAATATATGCATGGAATTATTGGTTATTTTAGCACACAGAGGCTTTTATCCATGTGAAAGCTTTTGAAATATGATGTTATATATATTTCTGGCTATGGCAGAAAGCCTTTGATATATTCTGTGATATTTCTGATGAAGGGATGCTGAAAGTTTTATGCATGAGATATGCATAATGAAATTCATAAAAGTTTTGAATGTCTTTAACACAAAATTTCTCATATTGAGAATGTGTTAAAATATTGAAAGTCAAAAAAGTTTACTAGTTTATCTAGTATGAGAATTAGCAGTGAAAAGAATTTCAAATTTAAATCATGGATTATGATTTAAGTTGGTATGATTCTTCAGTTTAGAAGAAACATGAAAAGTTGAAGCTTTAAATAAAAAACGGTTTCTTCTCCAAAGTGAATGGATATTTCTGAATGGATGAGGTTTATCGATATATGATTTCTCCAAAGTGGATGGTATTCCAAATGGAGGAGGTTTAAATTTTTATTTAAAAAAATCACTCACTGTTAATGAGTTCAACATGGTGATTGAAATTATTGGTTATAGAATTTGCCCAGAAATAAATATTTATTGACTATGAACCTATAAAGTGGGTTCCGATATAATCAATCAAATATTTTATTTCACAAGTTCATTGATATAATATTAAAATTCTATCTATCATCATGTTCGGTTGGCAAAGTGGATGGCATTAAAATGAATTTTTGAAATAATTGAATAAAACCATTAATTATTGTTTAGTATATTCAATTCAAAAGAAATTTCCATCTTGGAAAGATATTCTGATGCTAGTTGAATGTCTAATCATGAAACTTATTCCTCAATTAGTGGATGAGTATTTCTGCTTGGAGGAGGTGTTGTTTTATGGGCTTCTAAAAAGCAAAGTTACTTTTAAGAATCAACTACGACATATGAATTTATTGCATTGGTTTAGGCATGCAAAGAAGTTAATTGATCTAAGGTATTTAATTATTGAGATTCCGGTTTGGCCAAAACCGATGTCACCAGTTTTGTACACTGTGACAACGCTACTACACTGACCAAAACATAAAACAATGGTTATAATGACAATTAAAGTCACATAGGCATTAGACATAACTATGTACGGGAGCTCCTAAGTAATGATGTTGTAGCACGTGACTTTGTACGGTCCCTGTTTAATTTAACGGATCCGTTTGCAAAAGTGTTGGCAAGGGACAGGGTTCTAAAGACATCGGGAGGGATATGGAAAGCCTAATTATTTAATTACATGTGAAGGAAAGCTCAACTCACGTCTAAGTTATTACGTTAGACCTTGAGTTCAATGTAGATGAGTACTTCATTTTGTGATTGCATGCAAGCATCAAAAGTTTAAATTAAAAATTGTATCCCAAGAAAAAGTGATGCTTGGTTCTGCAGTGTTGTAGGGATGAATTTTTACTCTTAACTGATCTTTTGAAAAATGCAAGATGTAGTGCATGATATAAAAGATTAGTCTCTGTAAGCATGAAGTGTGGCCGCTTCAAAAAAGTTTGGGCTTTACTTGGTACGTGCTCATTAATGGATATGGACACATAACCATAATAGTGTCAAGTTACAGTGAGTTATAATGACTGTAAAACTTGTGTGTGTTATATCTACATTTCTTCAAAGAGACTGCATGATTCAAGGTTCGTCCATCACTGCAATCCGAATTAATGTAACACATATAACACTATGTGAAAGTTCAATCTGTAAGACACTTTCATTTATGCATGAGTTTTGGATCTGTCTTGGTACAATATTAATCTTTACTATATAAATGGAGGAAGAATGTTAGAAATTTATATAGAAATGGAGATTAATGTTTCAGATGGACTACCATGAAAGGTAAAATAATATTTAGAGTTGTGGCGTTATAAATATTATTTTAGTTTGGTAGAAAGTAAATTGAGAAATATGAATATTACGTACGGTTGAAACCAAGTAGTACACAAAGAATCGTGCTTAACGATTGCTTAAGGATGCTTATCGAATCGTGCACAAAGAATCGTTGCTAACGATTCATTAGTTGTGTTAAACGAATCGTAAAGATTCATAAGTTAATGCACGGCTCGAGTGGATCGATTTCAATTCGCCTCGGGTGAATGGATTAACAAAAGGAAATTATCATCCACTCGTGCAACTAAAATGCAGACTCGTACAACTCTCTTTGGTTTCAACTTTGTTGGTATTTGATGCAGATTCGTTGTATTAACGAATCAAACCAATTTTGGTTTGCTGAATGCATCGAATAGAGTAACATATATTTATATATATTATATACTATTTATTTTGCATGGAGCCATGCATGGATATATGAATAATATATATATATATATATATATATATATATATATATATATATATATATATATATATACTTCACTTAATTATTGTTATTTTTCCATGCTTAATATATCAATTAAGATATATCTTAAGAAAGTTAAGTTTTTAAACTACACTAACTTCCATGTAACTTCTCCAAATAGTTATATTTTGCATCTATAGATTAAATAGTTTGGGGAAACATCTGAAAGAAAAAGGCAAGTAATAGGCAAGACATGCAATAAACTTGCAATAAATTGAGAAATTTCACACGTCTTACAATTCTATAGGAAATTCTCATACAAAAGAATTTCATTCATCTTCTTGTATCCCATAAAATTAAATCTTGAACGTTGTTGCTTTTTCAGAGGGAGATTTAAAGCTTATAGGAAAGTGATTACACGCCTGAATATATCAAATGATCCAGTTTATGTTCCCTGATCTATTCTGTATTTTTATTGTATCTCAAATGTATTACAGAGTACAAGCACTTTTTCCAACATTTGTTGGCCTTGCATGCTAAGTTAAACTGCTCTCCGAGTCAGTGCGTCTGACAATTCTTTGTACGCTTCACATCTCAACGTCTTTTTGATTGTTCCTTATGAATGTTAATGTTCCAAATTCGACCATTGTGTACATATCAAATAAAAGCTGCTGGAATAATCACTTGGAATAGAGTAGTGTGGAGATCTCACTTAACCTTTTGTGTATACGAAAAATAGAAGAAATTTCTTTGGAATATACGTTGCCTTCCGCCAGTTGCACTGGAACCTTGTACAGAAAGTTGAATATCCTTCCAATAACCATCCTCACCGTATGGAAACAAAATAGGATATTGTAATGGAAGGTAAGATGGGTTCAATTCACTTATACGCTTCAATTCAGCACATTTGAACTCAACCAAATGTTGCATTGACCTAACATTGGGTCTAGGTCACCAATTATTAGAGCTGCAACTTCCAAAACTGTTAGTAAGTTATAGGTTCCTACATCATTATTCCTTTTACCAATAATCTCATCTTAATCTCCATTGGTGAGTTAGACTCAATCTCGGACTTAGTCATACGAAATGATTTAACTAAGAGATTATGCTCATCTAGAACTTCTTTTATGTCTGCAACTACATCAACATGTATCTTAGCTTTATCATCGTCTTTCCTACAAATATTAAAACAAAGGTAATTTTATATAAGTAAAAGTATAATATTTGAAGACATTTTGTTTACTTTTGACACGTATTCATCCAAAATAGTGCATTTAATTTGGTTACCCCACCTAAAACCAAAAAAATGAAAGAACTTAATCTTAAGAACATTGTAAAATATTTACAGAAAAAAAAATACTAAAAAACTTATTGTGAATCGTCAATCAAAAAGTCAATTAGCCTTGTAGGCTTTCCTACAATAACCTCCCCTGGGGAGAATAAATCTCCACAATCCTCCCAATAACATCTATAAAATATTATTTAATTAAAAATTATCAAGGAAACTGTATGATTAAGATAATTGAACATGTTAAATAGATTCAAATAACAATAAAACTTATCAATCAATTCTTTTTTCATTAACATCTGGATTTTCTTTCAAAGATGACAAAGACTTTAATCGATACATATATGCCTGGGAAAATTGCATCCTTTCATTCGTTAACCACTGTTTGATAGTTGAACTTCAACATATACTTGTGAGTGCTTGTTTTGTAGGTATAGAAATTAATCAAATTAGTAATCTCCAAAAAATTCTTGACTCCATAATTCGCTCTTCCTTAAATTTTGTTAGCATACTTTGAAACATACTCTTTTGGAATATGTGCATGAAGGAAAGTCCCCTGCAATGAAAGGGAACAAAACACATCACCATTATTTGAATTGTAGGTGCAAACCGTATTCATAAACAAATATTTTTAGAAATTAATAGTGCATATAAACATACCTCTTGATCATGAAACACGCACTCTTTGCATTTAATTGGTTCAACACCTCTTCTCTCTGGAATATCATACGTACACACCACCCTAACTTTTATTGCATTTCTTATGTTCAAGGGCGAGATATCACGTTCCAGAATGTAGATTGGAGCCATGTGTAATGGGTACAATGAGATTTCTAATCTAATTAGCTTCAAATGTTTATAGCCGAGTAGAAGTTAACACCTATACGTTTACTACAATGCACTGTATATATATAGGACTCTAGAGACACCTGCATATTACACATTCGATGCTACGATGAGAATTGTATAAATTGTATTGAATGATGTGATTACAATAGGTACAGACTATGGGAATATATACAAGAGAGAATCACAGGAAGATTAGGATAGGGAGTCATAATCTAACTCAAATACATAGAGTCCTAATACTCCCTCTCAAGTAGGGTACAGTGGAAACCTGTAGCTTGTCTCTAAGAAAGGGAAATCTAGGGACAGGTAAAGCTTTTGTAAAGATGTCTGCTGATCCTTGGTAGAAATAAAGTTGACTTGAATATCTCCGGAAGCAACTCTATCTCTAACAAAGTGATAGTCAATCTCTACGTGCTTGGTGCGAGCATGAAAAATAGTATTTGCACACATATATGTAGCACCAAGATTATCACACCATAATTTAGGAATGGGGATACCTGGAACGTTGATTTCATTTAGTAGTGATAGGATCCATATTACCTCAGCACAAACATCTGCTAGAGCTTTGTATTCCGCCTTAGTGGAAGATCAAGCAACATTTCTTTGTTTCTTACAGATCCAAGACACAAGATTGGATCCAAGAAAGACAACATAACCACTAGTAAACTTACGATCTTCAGGACGACCATCCTAGTCAGAATCAGAAAAAGCATGAATTTCTCTAGACACTAACTTTCATATATGCAAACCAAAAGAGATTGTTCCTTTAACATACCTCAACACACGTTTTAGTTGCACCCAATGTGATACTGTAGGAGCATGCATATGTTGACAGAGTTGGTTAACCGCAAAAGACAGGTAAGGTCGTGTGATGGTGAGATATTTCAATGCTCTAGCATGGCTCTGGTACTGCGTAGGATCATCATACAAATCTGCACTAAATGGGACAGATTTTGAAACAGGAATAGGAGTAGATAGCGGCTTGCATTCTGCCATCCCAGCACGCTTCAAAATATCATTCATTTATCTTTGCTGAGACAGTAAGATCCCCGTAAGTATTTTCCCTAATATAATATATTATAATATATTGTATTAATTAAATGGTTGTGGTGCAAGTGGAATATTAAGTCAGTTAGTGACTTAGTCTGTTAGGCAACTCAGGATATTCAGTTAAGCTTTAACTGAATATTTGCCTACGTTGATGGCATGTAGGCTTCTAAGCATAATGAGTCCTCCCACAGCTCCCGTGTTCAGAATACACGCACCATCAGGTATTCGGGAGAGAAGTGGTAGACAAAACACTAACCTTTATTCTGCAGGTTTACCATCTCGTGGCAATACCAATGACTATGGCTGGGGATATTCGGGCGATCCTAAAGCTTCTGCTGTAACGAGGTAGGTTACTTGTTTACTACAGTTTATGTTAGCCTTAATATTATTATCTAACATTTGGTATCAGAGCCCTATCAATCTCTACCTGGTTATTTGTATTGTTGCAAAAGTAATTTCGATAATGGATATTAATCCACATATACATAGATTTTCATATGTGTTCTATTTTCGAAATTTGACCTGGAATTGTTTTATTCTTGTTGCCGATTTTGGAGAGAGGCACCGCTGCAACTTTTGGCATGCAAGATGAGCAGAACAGTCTGGGCCTCACTTTTCCGGTAGCTTTCCCCTCCGGCCGCAGTCCACGATGCAACTGATGTTGAGCGGCAGAGGGACGACGGATTCCCCCCGGTCGCCGGTTGCCATGAGCAACGATGGCGAGCTTTGGGTGTTGATGACTCCGACGAGGGGTGCTGTTGACGGTGGGGGTGGGGCTTTGGTTCTCCATCGTGAACCTTGCCGCTGGGAGCACACCATCGGCGGTGGCGTTATGGTAAGGCGGCACCGGAAAAATTCAGTTCGTCCCCAACGAGCAAATGTAGGTCCCTCCCCTCCTTCAGGCGGCAATGCAAAGGTGCACGCATCTTCTGTTCGTCGCCGAGATCGCCGCGGCTCATCGCTGCTTCATTTACGTCAGGCGTTGGCTCCGATCGCTGCTCCTCAAGGTCACGCAACGCTGGTTCTGGTTTGGCAGCGTCTTCGGTGGCGGTTGCTCCTCTTGCTATGAAGACGACGGGCAAGACGGAACAGGGAGTCCTCGCTGGTTTTCCGGTGATTCAGTAGAAGAAGACTCCTGGTACGTTTTTTTTTTCTTCTTTTTTTTTTTTTGGTTTTAATTAAAAGGCAACTTAACTTCTTTTTTTTTTTTTTTTTTTTTTTTTTTTTTTTTTTTTTTACCTTTTTGTTATTTGCCTTATATTTAATATTTATATATATTAGTTTTGGTAAATGGTATATATATTAGTTTTGGTAAATGGTGATTATTTGGTTCATTATTACCATATTTATATTACCTCAATTAATACTATATATTATTTGTGGCAAATGGTAAATAGTAAGTAATTGTTTATTTTTTTGAAATAATAATGCCCTTTAGTTATTCTTTAATTTTGGCATTAAGATTTTCAAATTTGAGTTCAGATTAATTGTGACATTATTTGTGATTGAATTATTGTTATTATAGTAATTCTTGTTACAATTAAATAATTATTATTCAATTTTTGAGCAAATATGAAGTTTTGATTTGCTACTTGAATTTTAATTTAATATTGATGTGCATATTAAATTGCTTGAATTATTGCAATTTATTTAGTATTTATGAGTTAAAATATATTAATTTACAAAAATCCAATCATACTTTGTATATTTTTAAATTTATTTTATTATAATTGTACATTTAGAAAAATATATATTAAGGTTGGATATAGCATATTATTAACTCATAGATTTAATATTAAATATCATTTAATTTTGGATCCTTAGGCTAATTTTGGACAATATAGCCTATTAAATCAGCTTGTTGGTTTCTCATTTAATTTTGAACATATTTTAGTCCTATTTGTCACTTGAGACTTTAAAACCCTATTTTTGAACAAGCTATTTAGGACTTATCTTGGTCAGTATGGATCTTGCTATTATTTGATTGATATTTTAATAATAATCGTAGCACTTTTATTTAATTATAACATGTTTAATTTATTAAGTTTTAATTATTACTAACTACAGTACTTTGTTAACAGTATGTATAGTTGGTAATAATCTAATGTTTGGATCTATTTCAACACAAGACCATTTATTATTCATGTTATAATTAACTTGGGCTATTAAGATTTATGTGCCTGACTTAAGCAGTTTAGTGCTATAATTATTGTTTTTTGTCTGATTTTGAGTCATTAAGTATCTAAGGATTACAATTACCATTTGAAGTCATTAAGACTTATAATTATTGTTTTGGCCATTAAGAATTATAATTATTATTTAAGTTAATTATGTTTTTAATCTATTAATAGTTTTCAGGGCCTTAACAATAATATTCTGTTTTCTTAATGGTAAGCAATGTACATAGTTATGTTGCCTTTACATTATTGGTAATTTGGTTATAGCTTAATTTTAGTCTCCAACTCATTGCAGTCTTGATTAATTATTATGTGGTAAATTGAGATTAGTATTTAGCATCCCTTAATTACAGTTTTATATTTATTGTGGTTATTGTTAATTTACATTATTGATTACTGTTATATTAAGTTGAGGGGCTAATCTCATTTATTACCTTTCATAATAATTATTAATTCATGGTAATCTACTCTATTTGTACAATGGTAAGATTACCCATGTCACTTCATTTTTCTTATCAATAAACTGTTGCGTACCATTGGGCGATTCATTGAGATTACTAGCATTGACGTATCAACTAAACTCTTCGCGAAAGTGGGAGATTTTGGAGGCTTTCTTCGTTATCGAGGTTAGTGCTATTGATAGATGCGGTTTGAATCATTACGGTTAAATCATTAATTACAGTTTACAGTTTATTATTATTCACTACAAGAAAAATCGCGAATCGCGACGGACAATCGCGACGAAAGATATTCCGTCGCAATATAGCGACCGAAAAGGCTACGGAATATATTCCGTTGCGAAATGGCGACGAAAAAGGCGACGGAATTAAATTCCGTTGCGAATTTTGGCGCCTCTACAAGTTAAAGAGGATGAATTCAGCATCCATAATCATACTTTCTGGATACATAAACTCAGTATGAGCAGCCACCCAGCAGCTTATTTTATTTAGTATTGCAACACAGGATTATGAAAATTGAGGATGAAAAGGTGGGTGACAGTGGAGTAGATAAAGGGAGGGTGTTGAAAATTATATATGTTAAATTTCTGTTGATGCACTACTTGTATAGTACCACAAGGCCTTATTATAAATAATGATATATTCTCTGGTTGGTAGATGCTGCCTCAATTCCTCTGCATAAATTAAGAAGATAAGGTGACACTCATTGGATGTTTCTGTGTTTTTGTTTTATCATTGGTTTTTGACTTTTTTTTTTAATCAAAGAATTTCACTCCATAGATTTCAATGGTTACATTCTGACCTCTCTTTTTTTTTTTCTCTCTTTTTTTTAATTTTTTTTTTTTTTAGTTTGTGTTACTGCAATCTCTCATCTCTTTTTAAAAATAAAAAATAAACAATAGTCAGTAATTAAATAAGTGGTAAGCTTATATAAAGTTTAGAAATTTAGTATAAATTACAAGATATAATTAATAATGGCCTTGTTTGGTAAAATAGTTAGCCTATCAATTAACATTTCTCTAAGATCGGTATGTTACAAGTCCAATTAACATTTCTCTAAGGACTAATTTGATTGCTTCTTTGTTGCTTTTTCTATTGCATAATCATTACTTTGAAAATCATGATAATATATGTGTAAATATGTAGGCATATTTACAGTGATATGATGGGCGGGCATGGTGATGAAGATTGAAATATATAGTTTTGTTGACCAGGACTATATGGTCTAATGGTATTCGCGTTGGACTTTCATTTGGAAGGTTGTGAGTTCGAGCCTCAGTGGTGGAGGCGTTATTTGGCTCTTTGTGTTTCAGTAGGTTGAGAGAGTATACGAACAGATACTACAATGTAATAGAGCTAGTAGCATTCAAAAAAAAAAAAAAAAAGACTTTGATTGAGTTCATGTGAATATATTCTTAGGGGATCATGCTAGTTTTGAATTGTATGCGTTTCCAAGAATTTTTTTTTTTTTTTTTTAATTTTAATTTCCCTTTTGCTATTGGCAATTTGAATTGAAGGAGTTTGATGAGGATCGGATATTTGTTCTCAAAATTTGTTCTAAATAAAATTCTAATTCAAATTTAAAAATTTTAGTTGTAGGCGGTTTTTAATTGGTTGGCCGACTAGGCACCGAGTTAGACACCTAACTCTATCTAGTTGGCACTCTACTCGGCCGAGTGGTATTTTTTGCTCAATTGCTCATCTTCTTCTAATAATTTAAATTTAAAATTCTAAACAAAAAGTCAACAAGTCCACCGAATTTTAGTTGGTTTGTGTGAATGATTCATTGGTGGGTACGTTAAAGTTTTTGCTATATTGGGTTCAAGTTTTGTTTTTAGGTTCTAGAGTGTTTTATTTACATAGTATTTGACGAACAGGTTCGTGCATATCTAGTACGGAGTAATATATATAATATACCATTGTGCATTTGTGTTTACGATTGCGAATTTGAGAATACAATTGTTCCATGTTTTGTTGGTCGTGTATGCAGGGCCGGATTTTAGGTTTTTGTGGCCCTGTTTTGGTAAATAATTGAGGTCCTCCAAAATCTTAATTTTTAAAAGTAACATATGCGAGTTTTGAACCTTTGACCTCTAAGTTAAAATATAATATACACACATTTCTACCATCTCTTCATAAAACCTTATTAAATTAATTGTAAACTTTTAATTTTTATTTCTAAACTAACTAGGTAAATATTAAATATTGGACTTCTAAAATTGGGGGCCCCTCTAAAATTGGGGGCCCTGTGCGGTAGCCCAACTTGCACAGTCTAAAATCCGGCCCTGCGTGTATTCAGGTATAATTTGGTGTTTGTTTCTTTTACTTGTGTCAATAA